AAAAATACATCCTTAATGGATTGGATAATACACTATATGGTGTGTATAGTTTGAAAGACTCGACTAAGAATCTATAGGATTCACTGGAAAAGAAGTACAAGACCAAGGATGCCAGAATCAAAAAGTTCATCGTTGGAAATTTTTTGGATTACAAAATGGTAGATTCAAAAATAGCGATCAACCAAGTGCAAGAGATCTAAGTCTTATTGCACGACATCCATGCCGAAAAAATGAAACTGATTGAGTCATTCCAAGTTGCGGCTATCATCGAGAAACTCCCTCCTTTGTAAAGAGATTTCAAAAGCTATCTCAAGCACAAACGTAAAGAGATGAACTTGGAAGAGTTGATCATCCAATTCAGGATTGAGGAAGACCAAGAAGAAGACTATTGTTCAGCTTGAAGCAAACTTCGTTGAAGCCGAGCCAAAGGTCAACAAGAAGCGGAAGATCTCTGGTGATGCACCGCGTAGAGATAACTCCAAGAAGGCCAAAAAGTTTAAAAAAAACTGCTATAATTGTGGGAAGGTCGGACATTGTTCAGGCGAATGTCGAAAATAAAAGAAAAATGCACAAGCCCACATGGTCGAGAAGAACACCCTATCCGAAGGCATACAAGAGATGAGCCTCTCTGCTGTTGTGTCCGAGTGCAATATGATTGACAACACAAGGGAATGGTGGGTTGACACCAGTGCTACCCGCCATGTATGTGCCGATAAGGGAATGTTCTCTAACTATCAAGAATTGAATGGGGAACAACTTTTCATGGGAAACGCTGCAAGTTCCAAGATTGAAGGACAAGGAAAAGTCACATTGAAGATGACATTCGGGAAAGATTTTGTCCTCAAAAACGTCCTACATGTGCCGAACATACGTAAGAATTTAGTATCCGAGTCTCTACTTAGTAAAAATGGTTTTAAACTTGTATTTGTGTCCGACAAGTTTGTGTTATCCAAGAATAAGATATATATAGGAAAAGGTTATATGTATGATGGAATGTTCAAGTTGAATGTTCTAACTATTGTACTAAAACAAGACGTTATGAATAAAATTACAAATTCTGTTTACTTGTTTGAGTTATCTTGTTTATGTCATGGTCGATTAGGACTTGTGAATTATAAATCAATGCGCAAACTTATGAATCAAAATTTACTTTCAGATCTTAAAATCGATCGTGATCACAAATGTAAAGTATGTGTTGAAGCAAAAATGGCAAAAACACCGTTCCATTCGATACAACAGAACATGATACCTCTAGATCTAATCCATAGTAACATATGCGAGTTTGAAATTTGTACAAACTGGGGGCAGTAAGAAGTATTTTGTAACTTTCATCGATAATTGTACAAGGTATTACTATGTCTTTCTTTTAAGAAATAAAGACGAAGCGTTAGATGCCTTAAAATTATACAAGACTGAAGTTGAAATGCAACTTAACAAACGAACTAAAAATATTCGTAGTGATAGATGAGGTGAATATGGGGCACCATTTGAAGAATTCTATTCCGAACATGGAATCATTCATCAAACAACGGCACCATACTCTCCTCAATCAAATGGCATTACAGAACGAAAAAATAGAACGTTTAAAGAAATGATGAATGCAGTGTTAATAAATTCAGGTTTACTTCAGAACTTGTGGGTGGAAGCTATCTTAACGGCAAATTACCTTCTTGACAGATACCCCGTAAGAAAATGGAAGAGACTTCATATGAGTTATGGAATGATCATCCTCCGTCTAATCAACACTTAAAAGTCTTGGGGTGCTTGACAAAGGTTGAAGTTTCTAAGTCTAAACAAGTAAAAATTAGACCTAAAATGATGATTGCATATTTATTAGATACGTCAATAAAAGTAGTGCATATTGTTTCCTTATACACAAGTCCGAAATTCAAGACGTGCACAAGGGTACGATAATTGAATAAATGAATGCAACATTCTTTGAAAATGTATTTCCTTGCAAAGACAAGGAAATTGAAAGTTCGAATAAGGGAACTTATAAAACTACGAAAGGATCTTCAAGTGAGGAAGAATCAAGGCGTAGTAAACGGGCTAGAACGTCTACATCATTTGGTCGGGAATTTCTAACCTACATGGTAGAAAATGATTCGAAGACTTTCGAAGAAGCTATTTCAACTCCAGAAGCACCACATTGGAAGGAAGCTTTCAATAGCGAGATAGATTCCATAATGCAAAATCATACAAGGGAGTTGGTTGATTTATCTCACAAAAATAAGCCTTTGGGATGTAAATGGATATTTAAGAAAAAGTTGAAGCCAGATGAATCTATTGACAAGTATAAGGCTAGATTGGTTGTCAAAGGTTATACACAAAAAGAAGGATTTGACTTCTTTGATACCTACTCACCCGTAACCAGAATCACGTCTATACAGTTACTAATTGCAATTGTGGCAATACATAACCTTAAGATTCATCAAACAGATGTTAAAACATATTCATAAATGGTGAGTTAGAAGATAAAATATACATGGAGCAACCTGAAGAGTTCGTTTCTCCTAACCAAATGGACAAAGTTTGTAAACTCATTAAGTCCTTATATGGATTGAAACAAGCCCCGAAACAATGGCACCAAAAGTTTGACAAAATGATGTTGTCAAAGGGATTCAAAATAAATGAATGTGACAAATGTGTATACGTGAAAAATACACCAAATGTCTATTTAATAGTATGTCTTTACGTAGACGATATGTTGATAATGGGAAATAGTCACAGAGCGCTACTCAACACCAAGAGAATGTTAATGAAGCACTTCGATATGAAAACATGGGTGTAGCACATGTGAGTTTAGGAATTAAAATCACTAAAACGTCGGATGGACTTGCACTTTCCCAATCACATTACATTGAGAAAGTACTTAAGAAATACAAATATTCGAGGAAAGTCCTTCACGAACCCCTATTGACCCAAGTTTGCACTTAGTAAAAAATGAGGGAGAATGCGTGTTACAACTAAGGTATTCACAAGCGATAGGCAATCTAATGTACATTACGAATTGTACTCGACCAGACATTGCCTTTGCGGTGAATAAACTTTGTAATTCATGAGTAATCCAAGCCATGATCATTGGAAGGCTTTGATAAGGGTACTTAGGTATTTGAAACATACCTTAAACCAAGGATTACACTTCACGAAATATCCTGTGATATTGGAAAGATATTGTGATGTGAATTGGATATCCGATATGAAAGATTCCCAAGTCCACTAGCGGCTATGTGTTTACCCTAGCTGGAGCTACTGTCTTATGGAAATTCACCAAGCAAACGTGTATAGCTCGATTAACTCTAGAATCCAAGTTTATTGCTTTGGATAAAGCTGGAGAAGAACTAGAATGGCTTCGTAATTTCCTAGAAGACATTCCACGTTGGCCTAAGCTAGTACCTCGAATTAGTATACATTGTGATAGTCAATCGACGATTGGAAAGGCAAGAAGCAGCATGTACAATGGTAAGTCTAGACATATACGTCGTAGACACAACACTATTAAGCAACTGATCTCAAATGGCATTATCTCCATAGATTATGTGAAATCAAAGGAGAATGTTGTGGATCCACTTACAAAAGGTTTGTGTAGAGATCAAGTAAGTTGTCTATCGAAAAGGATGTGATTAAAGTCTACTACATAAGAGTCTTTGCAATGGTAATCATACCTTGTTGACTGGAGATCCTAATATCTTGGTTCAAAGGGACAACTAAGTTGTGAGAATTCTATGAAGCACTTGGGAAATTAAATTTCCTAACTCATTCATATGATACAAAAGTGCTTTCTGCAGAGTGGTTAAAGGTTAAGTTACTCTTTTAATGATTCCTATATCTTAACTAAAGTCAAGTGGAGTAGGATAGAATACTCTTAATAGGAGGTCACCTATGTAAGTGTGAAGTGGGACCGTTTCAATAAGAATTATTCGAAGCTTGAATTCTTTAAACACTTATGAAGCCGAGATGGGTTCAGGGCCAAAATGAACCAAGTCATGAGAAACAAGTACGGAATCGGCAAGACCTCCGTGTGAGTATCGTTGTCTTGGCTTATACTAAAGGCTAAATGGTTCAAGACATCACGTTCACCACTTAGCCGAGTAAGTCCGATGATATTTCACTACGGGAGGTTCAAGGCCAGAAACAATCATCCCCAATGCAGTGGCTTTTCGCCCTCTCTCTACAATGCATCATATCATAACATTACATGTGCATACTTGAATTTTCATTCCTATGGAGGATTGTTGGAATTGGTTCACCGAAAATTGGTTAAGTGTAAAACTGGAAAAATAAAAAGGTGTGACTTCGTGTCAACTTCGGTCAAATATTCGGGCTTGATTCGATAGTCAAATTACAAAAGTAAATAGACCAACTTATTTTACTCTTAGAGTAGATTGTCGTGATATATTTGAAATCTTGAAACCAATTCCGGATGAATGAGAAATTATAGTCCAAAATTGAAATAAATGAAGTGTTGTAACTTTTCGAAAAGATGCAGATTTTGGCTCACATACTTTGTTTGCACCCTTTCTATATCTATAAATAGGACCCTATGGACGTGGTTTTAAACACACCATAGCATTGAGCGTCCATTCTTCTCTTGTAATTCATCTTTCTCCAATCTCATAATATTCCTTTGTAAAGGGAAAATTCCGTCGAAGTTTCGCTGTTCTTATGATTTGAAGTGCTGTTGTCACAAGTGTGTATCCGTTATATCTTGGAATACTTTCGGCATTCAACTGTGAGCATCGTAGCAGAACAATTTGTCTTAAGGAAAGAGTTATACTCGCCTCGAATTTCTTTTTCTACTCTTTCTTATTTCATTTTGATTTTTTGTGGTCATTTTAGTCACATACTTTATATCCTTACATTGTATTCTAATTACGCTCCTACAAATTAGAATTTTTGCTTATAATAATAGCGTTTCAACTACACTCCCACGAATTGAAATTTTTGTTCATTTACAACCTATACAATCATTATGCGACTTACAATCATTATGCGACTAAACTAAATACCGCCGACAACGGAAGAGAACGTGGGCATATGTTATAGCTGCAGAAAACCCGCTTGAATATTTGTCCCGTATATTGAAGAGTTTGGTTCAAATAACTGAACAAGAGGAAATGGAAATCTCATTCACTACTTCGATCCGCAAGGGTAAAGGTCTTATAGATGAGAATGGGAAATTCAAGGGAAAAGCTCCGCGAAATTTCGCACTCTAATTCCTCACAGCCACCTTTGGATCTCTTCAAGAAAATCATATGTATGAATTCTCCAGTTTCTTCTATATTAAATGAGATGCAAATTTCTGTGAGCCGTGGAGAAATTTTTCTGGCCGGTCAGTGAGGTATTGATCTGGTTTTCGATTCCAAAAGAAGGTCCCTTTTTTCTCATCTTTTTTCTCTTCGGTCAGTGAGGTATTGGATTTTCGTGATTATTCTAATTTGGTTTCTGAGGTGATTGGAAATGGAAAAGAGGGCAGTGTACGAGTTCCAGGGACGAAAGGGGACTGTGCTGAGGGCAGGTGGAAAACAGCATGTTCTTGTGGGGAGGAAGTGGGGCTAGCTGGAGAAAAGGCTGGATTTTTATTGATGTGAGGGTAGTTAAATAACATGGAATTCAATATTTTTCTTAAAATTTATTTTTCAGGTTTCTCTATTTAGAGAAGAAATAAGAATTGACACCAAGGTTTTGGATGGATACCACAATCGCAACAAGAATGTTTTCTCTCCTAAAACGTGGCACAAATGTTGAATTACTTAAACAAATCCAAGCCATACACCAAAAGATAATTTCTTTTGGCTTACAAAACAAAATTGCTGTATGCAAAAATCTCATCAACCATTATATTTCATGTCAGGAATATAAGTCAGCGAAGCTGGTTTTTCAGAATATTGAAAATCCATTGGACATCACATTATGGAATGGCCTAATTTCAGTATACACAAAGAATCTTATGTTCAATGAAGCTATTGAGTTGTTTGAAGATTTGTTGCGGTTCCCGTATTTGAAACCAGATAGTTACACATATCCAAGTGTGTTGAAGGCTTGTGGTGGATTAAGGAGAGTAGAATATGGGAACAAGGTCCATGTCAATTTGATAAAAACAGGGCTTTTATCAGATGTTGTTGTCGCTAGCTCTTTGATAAGTGTGTATGCAAAGTCTGGAGGGTTTGGATTAGCTGTAAAGGTGTTTGATGAAATGCTTGAAAAAGATGTGGCTAGTTGGAATAATGTGATTTCTTGCTATTATCAAAGTGGTCAGTACGAGAAAGCATTGGGTTATTTTGAGAGGATGAAAAAATCGGGGTATAGGCCCGATTCTGTCTCCTTCACGACAGCTATTTCATCTTGTGCGAGGCTTTTGGATATGGAAAGGGGGAAGAGAATCCATGAAGAAGTGGTGATGGGTGGGCTTGTATTGGATGGTTTTGTGAAAGCTGCTCTTGTGGATATGTATGGGAAGTGTGGTTGCTTAGAGAGGGCTAAAGAGGTGTTCGACAAAATCGGGAATAAGAGCTTGGTTTCTTGGAATGCAATGATTGGAGGTTACAGTTTAAGGGGGGATAGTGCCTCGTGCATTAAACTTTTAGTGCGGATGAATCAAGAGAAAATAAGGCCTAGTTCAACGACAATAACCAGCTTGTTAGGGGCTTGTGCTACATCAACTCAACTGAGACAAGGAAAATTTGTTCATGGTTATATTATAAGAAATAATATAATATCTGATATTTTCACGTACAGCTCACTAATTGATTTGTACTTCAAGTGTGGAAGTGTTGTACTAGCTGAAGAAGTCTTTCGAATGACACCAAAAAACAATGTAGTTGCTTGGAATGTAATGATTTCCGGTTATGTATCAACAGGTTGTTACGTTGAATCTCTTGGCATATACGATGACTTAAGGGAAGCAGGTATAAAACCTGATGCTATAACATTCACCAGTGCATTGGCAGCTTGCTCACAGTTGGCTGCCTTGGAAAGGGGCAAAGAGTTACATAATTGCATTGTCGAAAGTAAGTTGGATTCCAACGAAATTGTAATGGGGGCACTTCTCGATATGTATGCAAAATGTGGTGCTATAAATGAGGCTCAAGGTGTATTTAATCATTTGTCTACAATTGATTTAGTGTCATGGACTTCAATGATCGTAGCTTACGGATCTCATGGTCAAGCATTTGAAGCTTTGAAACTTTTTGATAAAATGTTAAAATCTAATATGAAACCAGATAGGATTACCTTCCTTGCTGTAATTTCTGCTTGTAGTCATGCAGGATTAGTTGACGAGGGGCACCATTATTTTAATTTAATGGTAAATAATTATGGTATCCAACCTGCAATTGCAGAGTACTCATGTCTTATAGATCTTCTAGGACGTGCTGGGAGATTATATGAAGCTTACGATATTCTTCAGAGAACTCATTATATCAGAGAGGATGTTGATTTATTGAGCACACTGTTTTCTGCATGCCATTTGCATGGGGAATTAAAATTAGGGGAGGAAATTGCAAAACTTCTAATTGAGAAGGATCCAGATGATCCATCAACATATATCGTTTTGGAAAAGATGTATGCTTCTACCAAGAAATGGGATGAGGCACGCAAGGTGAGATTGCAGATGAAAGATTTAGGGTTGAGAAAGAATCCTGGTTGCAGCTGGATTGAAGTCGACAGAAGTATCCGATACTTCTTAGCTGAAGACAAGACATTTTCACAAGCTGAATTAGTTTATGACTGTCTGTCTTTGCTACACTTTCAAATGGAGAAGGACGAAGTAGCAGTGAATGCAGCTCTGTGATTGAACAAAACGTCTGATTTTGGAGCCTTGATCTTTTATAAATGTGCAAGGAGCACCTCTATAATATAGGTAATTTCAAACCCAACCCGAAGCTTCACCTTTTCTTTGGAAAAAGCACTGAATTTAGCATTTGTTTGGCATAGCTTATTTGAAAATCATTTTTCCTCGAACTCATTTTTAACTACCTTCTCCTAATAAAATAGGATACTTAACAATGCCCTAATTTTTAACCACACATTCTCAAAAAAAAAATGCTTTTTTTCTTTACCATTAAGTAAATCGATTTGGTGTAAATTTTCTTGAGTTGCGTCTGCAAATTATTCATGTTAATTAAAAATAGTGATTGACAAAGCACGTGAAATGCATTAACAAGAATCTTTTTGAGGGACAATATAGCCCATCAGATGTGTGTACGGTTCAACCGTGAAATTTATGTTTTGCTTAGAGGAATCCAATGTGAATCTGCTCTTCATTTTCATCCTGTCTTATTTTTTTCTTGAAAATGATCTTTCACGTTGTAGACAACTCTTTCGTTTAATCAAAGCCTTTGGGGTTGTTGATTCTCTTTTGTTGTAATTTAAGGCATAAAACTGATGTGACGACTGAAACTACAGGCTCTGGAATACCTCGGAAAAAGTCACGGAATACGGAGAACAATGGACCTAGCAAGAAAGCGTGCTAATCTTGCTTCTGCTGCAATTGGTTCCCTTCCTCAAAATGATTACGAGGGTGTTCAAAGATCAAGGCGGGCATTTGTAGAATTAACGCTCAGAGTTTTCACTAGAACATCATGAAGATGTACGAATAGATCCCAGGTTCAAACTTATTCAACAGCTGTAGAAAATTTTTGTTCATTTCTTTAGGCAATGTTTCTGTATCATGGGGACAACATTCCCTATTTTAATTCATCATTATTTCATCAATTCTAGTTTTTCGCTGTTAATAATTCTGAAAAGGTATGCTATTTTGCATGTAATCATTTAATGGCAACTCACATGTAGATTATTAATACATACACAAATTATGAGGTTTTAGATCTGGGACGTTGCATTATGTAAATTAATGGTTAGTATATGCTTCTGAGATGACGTGCTTCCTGACATTCCTAGAATTAGTCGATCAATAAATCCTTGAGGATGTGAAGGCAAATGATTGGATATGGTCAGCTTGGTTCTACCGATTGAATTGGATGCAGTGGAACTGTTATAGTAAGTTGTAACAGAGTTTTGTGTAGTTTGTACCAGGAGGAACTCGCCATCATCATCAGTAAGGAGGTGAAAGCAGCCCAAGAATCCTATAACAATACTGCAAAAACCAATGGATAAAATTCATATTTTTGCCTCGTCTGCTAGAATCTCATTTCGATTGGTACCATTTTTGTGCTCGATATGAAGATTTGTCAGTGCACCAGTAAATCGAATTAACTAACCTGAAGAACTGAAAATGCCTTCTCTGCTATGTATTTTGTGGGGTTGTGGGTCCCTTTTGTTGCAACTTGTCTGGATGTAAGCATAACTGTGCTCACCGATATGCTTTCTTCACTTGAGAACTTCATCTAAATGCTTAAACTTATAAAGACGGATTAAATTTATTAATTGGTTTTTGTCCCAAAATGGTCAGAATGAATCTATTTTTACTTTAAAGGCATCCATGTATATAATTTTCAAAAAAAAAAAAAAAAAAAGAATAAAAGGAAAAGGAGTGATACTTGAACTCAAGACATTTGCATGTTTTGATGTTATGTTGATTAATTTGATCATTTAGGTGAGACAATTCGAGAACACACAATGATTGTAATTAAATGAAAATAAATAATTTGTGTTCGGGCATGTAATAATTAATATGTTGAACAACATTAGCGGTAATCTTGACAATTAACAACTTGTTTCTGAAAATAACAAAAAATGTTATTCTATATTTGATTAATCTCTTTCTTTCATTGTTATTAGTTTTTACCTTGACAGCTAAATATATCTAATAATTCCTATTTCCTATGATACTCGGACTCGGATACGAGTACGTATCCAAGTGTTAGATTTTTTATTTTCTAAAATGTAAGATAAAAGGACATGACTAAAAAGAGTCTAAATTTCGGACATGGGTATGTGAGCACGTCTTTCAAGCTTCAATTTTTTTTACTAACCCAAGACGTTATTTTGAATGGACCAAGATCAATTGTTCACAAAGAAGGAAATAAGTATTGAATAAAGGTATAAGACAAATAAAATAGAGTTTTGAAATTTAGTTTTCAATTATGGGAAGTTAGTTATTAAATGTTATATAACATGGAAAATGATGGACTTAATTGCAATTTGGACTTAGTGGAGCACTTAGTAGTACTATATGGAATCCATTGTCATTTTATACAAACAAGACCCTAGACCATCGATACAGAGAAGGAAAGAAGGAAAGAAAAGAAGAAAAGGGAAAGGAAAAAGAAAGTAGAAGAAGCAGGGAAAACTTAGTGCCATCGACTTTCTCTACCTTCTCGAGACTTCGCTAGGTTTATAGAGAGCAAAAATGAGAAAGAAAAGGAAAAGGGAAAAAAAGGAGAAGAAAGAAGAAACGGAAGAATAAGCAAAATGGCGAAGTGTCCGGTTGAAATTTAGAGGATCCGACATATTCCATACACATGTCGTGTCGTGTTTGACACAGGTACTCCAATCATTTCAAAGAGTCCGAGCACTAGATGTTATTTCCTAGATTTTCTTCAATCAATGTTTTATGCATGTATTTGTTGCAAAAGGTCATTTGTAATATTTTTAAAAGATGTTAATTTTTTTTTCTTTTTTGGTCAATTATTATTACTATAGGAGAAATGGACTAATTTAAATCATGTTCGGGAGTTGTTTATAAACTATTTAAATTATAAATCAATAAATATGAGAGGTGGACAAGTGGATAGTGCTTGTGAGTCTTTCGAATATGTGGATAAAAAGTGGTTTTGACTAATTATAAACAATTTATTACTTCAATTTTTGATGTATATTTGTGTTGTCAAATTACATTTGCAATTTCTGCTTCAGCCGGATACTACTAAAAGCCATCTTCATCTAATTGTTTATTTCAAATCTCATGGTTTGTTTTTCCTCTTCTCTAACGTTTTTTTTCATGTTTGATAAAGACAAGAGATAGTGGCTATGGATCATATTCCTCCCATTCATCGTCATTGTATGGAAGGTTGGTTTTCTCGGTTGTGAATTTATTACTTGGATTTAATCATTCTGAAATCTTTAAAGTATGTCTTTAACCATAATCTTACCTTGTTAAGCAGATTGCCTCCACCTTCAACTCTGGAAATGGTTGTACCTGCACATGCAGTTGGTAAAGTCATGGGCAAAGGTGGCATGAATATTGAAAATATACTTAAAGTGAGTTGTTTTACTTTCACAGAGCAATGACCAATAAATTTTGTATTTCTCTCAGTTGGCTGCATACCAGCAGGAGGTAAATCTTTTTTCGGTTGTCCAGGGCTGAAAGTCTGCTTAATTTTCAAATTAAGATTGTCCAGCATGATGGCAGACCAGACACAATTCGGTCTCTTTTCAATTGCTAATTTTGGGTGGTCTAGTTACGAAGTCTTGAATTTTATGTTTGTGAACTGTTATCCTAGATATTGACCATGTTTGGCTAAGCTTATCAGGTCTGTTGAGCCATTACTATATGATAAGTATGTTTTTACACACTTATTTGGTTCACAAACATGACTTAAACATGGATAAAATTGTTGAATTGTGGCTTAACCCTATTAAATTCATGCAATGTAGGTATTTCAATGGAAATTGTGGAATTCAAGAGAAAAGAGCCGAAGAAGGACCAAAACGCAACAAAGTGATAGTTCGAGGACCAAAGTTGCAAATATCGAAAAGTTGAGCTAAATGCAAAACGAGAGTAACAACATGCCGAGTATCAGCTTAAGGACAAAGCAAAACAATTGGAAGAAGAAAGAAGTGAAAAGGGACTGAATTGAAGACAATTGAAAGATGGAGGACTAAAGGTGCAAATACTCAAAAGATGTGCTGAATGAGTGGCATGAGATTTGATGGTGTCAATCATCAATTGGAAGATAAAATTTGTTGAAAAGATGAAGAAATCGAAGAAAGAAGTCAAGAGAAACAACAAGGAAGTTCAGGGACCAAAATGTAAGGACTGCATAATTGGGTATATCTATGCGACCGCATAGTGTAACCATCTATGCGGTCGCATAGAGGGATGCAGGGAAAAAATTGTAAATTTCAAATGACCTATGCGACCGCATAGGATCCTTCTATGCGGTCGCATAGGTGAAATTGCGGGGCGTTTCTGCTATTTCCTTTTTCGACTCCAACTCTTTTTTTAACCTAATTTGGACACGCTATATATACCCTAAAACGCGTCCAGAACAAGGGTACACGGTTTTGGGAGCAAAGAGGTACACAATAACATCAAGATCCAAGAATTAATGCAAGAAGAGGGAGGATTTCATCAATATTGAAGATTTCAAGCATCAATTATAATAGGGTGATGTCTTCTCCTTTATTCAATTTTTGTAATTTTCTTCAAAACATGATAGGTTAATTTTATATTTCATTGGGAGTCGATGAACCTTTGATTTTCTTATAAACTCCTATATTTCATGAGTTTAATATAAATTGTCTTTGGAATAAATTGTTTTGATTGAATCCATGATTTATTGGCCATTTATTATGTGATTGTGATGGTTTATTCTTTACATTCGAAAGAAGTAGAATAGACTCGATATATATAAATTGACATAGGGTCTGATAGGGGATAGAAATATACCCCTATGCTTTATGCAGTTCGGTAATTGTTCATAGAATTTCATACATTTTTGTATGTTACATCATCCATAGAAATATAGGCTGATGATATGCAGAAATAGATCTAATATATATCAAGAGAGTATATTAGATAGGCGTAGGAACATTGAATTGACAATTTTTCATTGATTAATTGGATTTGTGAAATTATGGTTTATAGAAATCAAATGGGGATTCGATATCCCAATGATTTTATTTCTACTTATTTCTAAAATTTCATTTACAACATTGCATATTTACATTTTAATTGAGTTGTTGAGTCATTTAATAAGGGAAATTTCGAAATTAGTGTTTTCTTCAAAATTAGGGTTTCAAATTGGAGGTTTCTTCCAAAATTAGGGCTTTTCACATTTAAACCAAATTTTCATTCAATTAAGATTTTATTTCAACTTATTTCTACAATTTCATTTACAACATTGCATATTTACATTTTAATTGAGTTGTTGAGTCATTTAATTAGAGAAATTTCGAAATTAGGATTTTCTTCAAAATTAGGGTTTCAAATTGGAGGTTTCTTCCAAAATTAGGGCTTTTCACATTTAAACCAAATTTTCATTCAATTAGATTCGGTTAAGATCACATTAGTCTAATTAGAGCTAATTCAATCCTCGTGGGAACGATACTTGGACTCATAGTCCATTTTACTACTTGTTAACGAACCGTACACTTGCGGTGGGTTTTAAAATCGAAACAAATAAATACGTGAACACTATAGAATTGCATCAATTGGCAGGCTAGGACATACATAAGCTGTTCCCTTGAAATTCCTGGAACTACTCTTGGAGCAAATTCTCTCCCCAGCTGGGAAGGGGATGTTTGGGGTTGTAGGGGCGAGAGGGAGTATGTATATGCTGTCACATTAGGCTTTCTGGATTATTGTGTTTTGTGCATGAGTATCACATTGCACTTTGAACTTACATTCTCAAATGCACACATTCTCTTCCAGATATCAGGTGCAGCACTAGAGAATTCAGATTCCAAATCCTTCTGAGGTGATCGTGTGGCTTTAATATTGGGCACGCTGGAACAGAAGCGTGCAGCTGAAAACTTGATTCAAGCATTCATAATGGCTACTTAAATTATGAAGATACTTTGGTCCACTTATATTTGAAAACTGTGGTTCAGTTGGTTCTTCCATCAATCGTTTATCCTCTATTTTATTTCATAGGCTTCTGCTGGACTCAGTTTTCTTCTGTTGGGAATCTTATGAAGATGCTTGAAGTTTAATAGCATGTTCTGTTTTCAAGCCATATAGGTTCTACCAGTGTTGCCTGATAAATTCGATTCATCCATGGTAGATGTTGATAGGATGTTTGTCGAGCCTTTGTGCATCTTACTTCTGATATGCTTTTCTGGTGAATTTGATGTTGAGTTGATTGTTAAACTCATAATACATGGATCCTTCAGTTAGTTCCTATTCCTTCCTCTCAGCTTCTTCTCCTGTCTTTTGATATATATGTGATTGATCCAGGTCTCTTCCTCGCATGCCGTCTGTGCTGTTCATATGTATAGATGTAAGTGCTAAACGACCCTCTCCTGTTGAAATGCAGGTTCTATGAAGCATTATCTCGTCCCAATCTGAATACTCTTGCTTGATTGGTACAAGTGTCTAATGCTTGCTTGAGCCATGAGACTGCAATTTCTGATAATTCGTAATTTTCAGTGTACGCTTACCAATTTACTCTTCCACAAATACTACTAAATCATACCCTTTGGGTTCCATTAATGTGACAATGTGACTTCATATAGAATCAGGTACGTTCACCGCCATCCTCATTTTCCTCTGGTCTGTCTCAGCCTATGTTTGGCTTATAAACTGTTTTTTTAACACCAAGTCACTCTTTTCCACACATTTCGAGGTACTCACAAGTAATACTTACATATTCATCACTCATTTTTATCTATTTATAATTTATACTGTATATATACATTTTCAAACATGTTTTCAAATATTTCTTTTGTTTTACTTCAGCAAGATATAAATGACTACAGTTCATTTCTTATGCTCGTGCAATTAGTGGATAAAGTTTAGAAAATTATATCTCAACATCCAATTAACTTCCTTTCCCCAACTGGTGTTCAAAAGGGCTAAGTCAGGTGCTGGTGTGTTCTGCATATGTTGGGTGAGCGAAAAGCCTCAAATAAACCATTAAAATTATTTAAAAATCTATAAGAATGCAAAATTATGCTCATAACAAACCATAAACCGTTTAATGTATGTTTACTAGGTGATTAAGTTAAATTTTAAGTGATTATAAGTTGTGGATCCTGTAAAATGTATGAATAAAGTATGTTGGCCATTAATGATTAAAATATAACCAATCATAAGTGCATTTAGATAATCCATAATAAAACATTTCAACAAAATTGAAAGTTTGATTTGTAACCAGAATCTAGAAAATAGGTCAACGAACTAGCAAGTGATAAATCGATAAAGTATCAACCAGTAATCCCATAACAAGATTGATTAATAATCCTCTACTAGAACAAAGGGGAAAAAAAAGTCATATCATCATTTACTAATTACAAGTAAGATCTTCAAGAAGAATTCCATTACATTATTTAATAATAAGTAGTTCACATATCAGAAATATTAAATTATTTACTTGTTAAATTAGGTCACATTGTTAAATATTTAGTCCATTTGCATTATTTTCAAAATATATTTTTCTTTCTTCTTTTCAACCACACATTCTTTAATAAGATAATATTATACGCAAACCTAAAATTTTTCTTATTTTTTAACCACACATTCTCAATTAATGTACTATTTCAAAATGCATTTTTACAATAAAATAGGACTTAAACAGGCTCTAAATTTGATTATGTTCTCAATTATAAAATAAAATTCAAATAAATTGGTAGAAAAAATACTAAAATAGTAATCACCAGTTCATTAAAATTTCAAAATTACTTAAATGAGAAAAATACCAATTTAGTATTTCAAAAGTAACTTTAATTTTAGCATATTTTAAATATACAAAACTACAAAGTAAAGCTTGTTGCCAATAAATTTGGACCAATACGTAACTCCTTTTTGCAATCCTTTTGGTTCATTACTAGATCCGGACCTACTTAGCCTATGTTTGGCTCATGTTTATAAATTCTTGAGCAACTTTTATCCTTACATTTTTGAGTACTATCTACTTATCCATCACTTATTTTTATTTATTTTTATTTAAGTAGCTTATAGCTTTCCAAACATGCTTTAAATAAAACCATTAGATTCCAAAATACTTTCACAAAATTCTATTTTCACATTTAACAATTTTCTATTCTCATCAAATAATGTACAGTAAGGGAACTCATCTTGAATATGTCATGAGCTCATCCATGACTCAGGTGAAAAGATGAGATATCACAACTTTGGTGCAAGCCTATAGTAATAGGGAATTCTCTACTACCATAACCACAATATCTCATGGTCATGATCAGGCGCGGAGCCAGCACCCGGCGAGGGGGCGCGGCCACGCGTGTTGGCTCCGCTGGAATCTGCAAAGCCACCGGGTAACGAGTTGCAGTCTTGCGCCATTGGAGAAGAAGGAAGATGAAGACTGAAGGCAAGGCACCGTCGGGTTTTTTTTTTTTGGTTGGGTTTGGGCTTCAGTATATTAAATTTTGGGCCTATTGTTATTTAATTTATTTAGCCCAAATGAATTTAGCCTTGAACCCGTTACCCATAACCCATTTCATTTGGCCTGCCATTTCCTTCGCATTTTCAATCCCCAACAGAAGACGAGAGGCAGCAACAAGAATTGTGAATTTCCCCAAATTGCCAAACCCTTTTCCTCAATCTCACTTCTTCTTGCTCCAAACTCACACCACAGACTTCAGGCATCAAACTTTCGGACCGGTGAGTGGTGACTCCTTTCCCTCTTTATTATTATTATTTTTTTGGGGTTTTGGTGTTGACGTGTTGTTCTATTTTTAGGCTTTTAACATATTGTCGATGCATTATTTAAAATTAAATCTATTTTATTGTTCTATCTTTCCACTTGTATTTAAAATTAACTAAGCAGCATAAAGGTGTTATGATAATTCATAATTTTATTTTTGTTTAAAGATATATGTTTCTCTAACATATTTGGCAAAAAAACAAAAAAAAAGTTATTTTTTTATAAACCTTAGGATTTACAAATTATGTGAATCAAAATGCAAATAACTATGAGTCTCACAACTTACAAGTTAATTAAGTTAGAAAACAATTAATTTATTTGACTATGGCTGTCCGTTTTGTTCAATGTCATTAGAAGATTTCTGTTTTACAGGGGGTAAAGTTCTGGGCTTAGCTTTCGTGGTAGTTGCTGAACAAACACTAGAAGTGATGCTCACTTTGGTTATTTAGACTTAGACATGAACTTCCTGTTTAAGTTGTATGTTCACAGTCTAGTATTGACTATTGAGCACTGAACTAAGCAAAAATAAAGGGACAAAAGTTGAAAACAAAAGTGACACTCAGAATTAGAATTACCTTCTCATAACAGGTCAACTGTGTCTTCTAGCACCCTTCAAACTTGTGGAAAAATATATTTGGAGTCATTAGACAACAATTTAATGGAATTGGATCTTTGTGATAATGTATTAGTGAAACATAAAGAATTTCTCCAGACTGAGGCTATAAATGGAACAAAAACATGAAATTAAATGTACAGTCAGTCTGGTTCCAGTAAGAAACTTGTTGACATTAGGTTTCAATCCCCGTGTTTGATGATTAGTAATTTATGTAAATTTATGTTTATGAAATTGTATTTGCGAATTGTGATTTATGATGAGTAATTTATGATTTGATGAGGGAATAGGATATTAGGAATGATTATTGATTTGAGAATTTACGTTTAGGATGACATTTTGCAGATTATAGAACATTTTTTCAACAAAAAGGAAAGTCCATACCCAATTCTTCTACTTCTAGTTGTGCATCTAGTCCCGTCACTGATTCTAGTCGAGCATAAGAGTTATTGAATAACACAAAGAAGTCTCGGGCTTAATTTAATGTGGATGATCTTGTATCTGATCCAGGGATACGCCCCCTATCGAATTATATGATCCTAATATTAGAGATGTTGTTAGGATGGCATATTTGGAGAAGGTTCATTGCCAACCATATGAACATGATTTTGCAAGAAGACTGATGGGGAATGGTAATAGATGTTTTCGAAAAGAATGGTTCTCTGAATTTCATTAGTTGGAATATAGTATAGAAAAGGATACGGCTAGGGTTGTCAATGGATTGGATTTTGATCCAAGTCCAATCCGAATCCGATGAAATTAACGGGAGATGGATTTAAGGTTTCAATTCGATAATCCGATTAAGATACGAATTCGATAATCCGTTAACTAAATGGAGCAAATATGGATTTATGTCGATCCGATCCGATTTATTATAATAATATTATATATATTATATATTATATCATAATTTATTAAACATAATTTTTTCCATTTTAAAACTTATATTATGCTTTACGCATAATTTTCAAATAATAAATAATATTAGATAATAGTATAATATTTTTACTTGAAATATTCAAAAAGGTTTAATTTTTTATTAATTAAAATAAGATAAATAACTATAGTAATTTGTTTTATAACATCAAAAACTAATAATTAATATGTCCAAAAATAATTTACTTTGTTAAAATTGATATTGTTTTTTATTTTAATTTTGTTAAGGCTATGATTTTTAGTGAAAATAATAAAATAAACTAGTAAATACTTAGAATTGACAATTAAGTAGTATTCCACATTGAAAGACCACTAAAAAATTAGAAGAGAAGTACCATTTAAAAATGTAGTATCCCACATAGGAAGATTATTAAAACATTCCAAGAAAAATCTTCTTTAAAAGGAACTAAAGAAGCATCACTTGGATAAAAAATTGATTTGGGCCTTTTAGTATATTAGGTGAGCCCATCAAGACAGTTAAAATATTTTTTTTTGGAAAAAAATGGTGAAAAAAACTCCGATCGGATATCTGATAACATAGCAAATCGGATATAGATTTAACAATCAAATATCCGTTGGATTATCAGATCGAATCGGATTGGATAATTTTTTTTAACTGATCGGATCGGATTTGGACAGATCTGCTCCATATCCGATCCATTGACAACCCTAGATGCAGCGTATTGTTTGCATTGCTATCTATTCAAACCTGATAGAGGGGGTCAAGGAGGTGGACATATATTTACTAAGACCGGCTTTAGGGATTGGAAGCACAAAAAGACATTGAAAGATCATGTCGATCTCTTTGATAGTTCTCATAATCAAGTTTTTGCAAAGTGCACCAACTTGATGAATTAAAAGCAAAGTATCTCTTACGTTATTTCTAGCCAAAGTAGTAGTCAACAACAAAGTTATAGGATCAGGTTGACTGCGGTGCTAGATTGTACTAGACTCATCTTGATGCAAGGATTGTCATTTCGTGGTCATGATGAATCGAAAGAGTCTCTTAATAGAGGAAATCTAATAGAGTTATTGAACTGGTATGCAGCTTGTTGTAAGGAAATTAATGAAGTATTATTTAGTAATGCTCCTGAAAATGATCAAATGACTTCACCAACCATCAAAAAGGATTTGATTAATTATTGTGCCGTAGAGACGACAAGGACTATTATCAATTGGATTGGTGATTCTTCATTTTCAATTTTAGTTGATGAGGCTCGTGATAATTCTGTGAAAGAACAAATGATAGTTGTTTTAAGGTTTGATGATAAAAGTGGGCGAGTGAAGGAGTGTTTTTTAGGTATGTCCCATGTCACTGATACTTGTGCCCAATCACTGAAGGATGCCATTGATGCAATGTTTTCTACACATGGGTTTAGTATATCTAGTCTGAGAGGTCAAGGCTATGATGGAGCAAGTAATATGTCAGGTGAGTTCAATGGGTTGAAAGCTTTAATTCTTAGAGAGAACCCACATGCTATGTATATTCATTGCTTCGCTCACCAGCCTCAGTTGGCAATTGTATATGTGACACGTAGGAATTGTATGGTTGGTGATTTTTTGGACGTACTTGCTATTATTGTGAATTTGGTTGGTGCATCATGTAAGCATGTAGATGCTCTTCGAACAAGTTATCAAGCTAATATTCTAGAGAAGCTTAATACTGGGGAGCTTACTGGTGGAAGTGGTTAGTTTCAAGAAATGAGTTTGGCACGCCCAGGTGATACTAGGTGGGGCTCACATTTATTGACAGTTACTCATTTCATTAATATGTTTAATTTTATTATAGATGTTCTTGAGAATATATCAGAAGATGGCGTACGTTCAGATAAAAAATCTTCAACCTTAAGACAGATGAACAATATGCAAGATTTTGAGTTTATGTTCAGTCTTCACTTTATGTTTGAAATTCTTGCAATTACAGACGACCTTTCACAAACCTTACAGAAAAAGGATCACGATATTCAGAATGCTATGAGGTTATTGAATTTGTGTAAGTGTGCATTGCAGAACTTGAGAGAGAATGGTTGGGATACTTTGTTCAGTAGGGTGATTGAGTTTTGTGTTGATAGACATATTTTAGTGCCTAATATGGAAGATATTGTAGTAGTGAAAGGTCGACCTAGGCGTGTAGCTCAGCAGGTGACTTATTTTCATCGCTTTTATGTTGATTTGTATTGTCATGTGATAGACTCAATCTTGCAAAAGTTGAATGATCGATTTTCAAAAACAACTATTGAGCTCTTTACTTGCATTTCATGTTTAAGTCCAAGAGATTCATTTGCAGCTTTTGATAAGGATAAGTTGTTACGTCTTGCTCAGTTTTATCCTTTGGACTTCAATAGTGAAGAACTTTTATTACTTAGATCTCAACTTGATAAGTTTCTTGTGCTTGTGAGAATGGACGAAACTTTCTTTAATCTCAATAGTATATCCTGTGTAGCTCAGAAGTTGATTGAAACTAGAAGTTCCTGTTATTTTCCATTGGTTTATAGGCTGCTCACCTTGGTTTTGATATTACCTGTGGCAACTACAAGTGTTGAAAGGGTATTTTCTGCTATGAATCTAATCAAGAGTGATTTGCGCAACAAAATTGGAGATGACTGGTTGAATGACAATTTGGTGGTTTACGTGGAGAAAGCTATTTTTAAAAAACTTGAGAATGAGGAAATATTGCAACGTTTTCAAATCATGAGATCTTGTAGAATACAGTTGTCTAAGTTTACAGTTACAGAGTAACTGAGTAAGGCTGTATCGTATATATTTTTTTACTATTTTGGGTTGTATCGAAATATATTTTCATATGTATACGATTTTGACGTTTTAGTTCATTTACATATATATTGAATAACTTTTAATATTATGTAACCAAATTTTAATAAACGATCGGACTATTACGATCGTCGGTCAACGGTCAATCCGCCCTAGCTGGTCTTGGATCCTGGATTCGCCGCTGGTCATGATTGCAACAATACTAGTCCATTTCTGACCAAATAAAAACGTCATAACGGCTTTTGCACTTGATTCCATATTCTAAGTCTGCCGGCAAGTAATTGTGTTTCCAAACATGTAATTACTTACAACTGACATAAATGTACATATTGAAAAAAGTACTGCTTCTTTACAAAGTTGGACATTTCTTTTTTGTTGCTTCTAATAGGAAGGATAAACTTCCTTCTCTTATCATTGGACGTTTCTTCTTATGAAAAAGCTTCACTTTTAGAAAAATGGGTGACAGAGGCTTTGACCTCCTCTCACAAATTCGAACCTTGACTGATTAAACAATTGGGAGGAAAAAGTGGCCCCACCCCCTAATGTGAGGGTCCGTCAAGGCCTCTGTCACACTTTTTCTGGCAGAGGAGCTTGGTCCTTCTTCTTTTTGGAAGGTTTGTGTCTTTGACAATATCCTCAGCTATTCTTCAGCACAATTATGACAATTTATATACTATGTATGCTCCATTTTTTTCTTTCTTTTTTACACGCGAGACTAGCAATAAAATTATCTTTCTCTTGTATGTTAATTTTCCCAAAAGATACGAATATCTGGTTATTTTTGTCTAATGAATTTACGGGTCTAAATAAATTTTAGACTACGCCTTTTAATATATCTGCTGGGGAATGACTGTTTTGTGGCATTATTAGAAGCACATTTTCATAACCTTGCATGTTTTCTCATCATTGTGTATATTTATTGTGTGCATATATGTAAACTTACAAAAATGTAAACAAAGCTTTTGTTGGAATGCGGAAGTGGAATTATACAGAAATTAAAAATTTCTTTAATTCAAAAACAAGATCGTTTAAATGTTCACGTGTATGTTATATATCATACAAAAAATAAAGGATTCAAATTTTTACAAAAATTCGATTATCAATTCTTGAATTCTGAACCACAAACTTCCAACTTTCTGAATCACGAACTTTCAATTTTTTAATTCTAAATACTTGATGCTTCAAATCTCCAAATCTTCTATGATATTATCTAAAGTTAAGACTACACTGGTGGGTGAGCACCTTCTTTTAATTAAGCACTTGTTTGATCCCCACTCTATCTAAAATATATTTTTTTTCTCTTATATTCAACAACACATTCTTTAATAAAATAATATTAAACGCAAATACAAAAATTTTCCTTATTTTTTAATCACCTATTCCCCATAAAATCACTATTCTAAAATACATTTTTTGAGAATAATGGGGCTCAAACATGCCCAAAATTAATAAATCATTTCTTGAACTGGACAATTGAAAATTTAAGAAAAGTAATTTTTTTCTCTCTCTCCAAAATTTAAACGACATGGAATTATGTATTATGAACGTTGTACAATTTCATAGGATGTTTAGGATCCATTTTATCTCTATTTATAGAGATAGAAGAGTTACAATACGTATACAATAATAATCTCATATTCAAATAGGAGTTCTAATTAAAATCATAGTGGGAGTTTTAATATAAGTCCAAATTCAATTAGTTTACATTTAATTACATGTGTAATCCTAGAACTCCAATTACAATTATAATTAAGTTTACAACTTTCATAGTAATTACAATCAAGTAAACTTTTTTATTATAATTACAATTAAGCCAAAAACTATTATAATTACTGTAATTAAGTTCCAATACTTTATGGAGTTATCATAGAGACTTAATCGGATATATATTATCCAAGCTCCAATAATTAGATTATGTCTAGTTGACCCTAGACCATCCAATCTAATAATTAGTTTTTTGCTTTTTCCGCTAAAGGGAAAAGACTGAACTCTCGGAATATATAAAATCACAGAAGTCAATAAATTTGTAATACTTTCCTTTAACTTGTCGTATATGTATTTTATCCCCGTCTGAGATCTAATAACTAGGTACGAGCATAAATGACCGTTTTGCCCCTCTAATTATTCTCACTAACTTAAACTTCATTTTCTTCAACGGTCCTGTGAACTAATCACAAATATCGAAGTTTAGCCGTTGCTAAATACTGAGCTCAGATTTTAACCGTTTAAAAGAAAATACTTAAGTAGTCAATCTACCTATTTTCCAGGATGACTATTCCCAACACAAATTCATATTGTCCACTCCGCTCATTCTCAAGTTCACAACTCATCGAGATATTTGACCAATTAAATTGATCTCACCCATTGATGAATCGGTACAATTTTGACTACATTGATATGTTTCAGTTTAAATTATAAGTAAAATGACATATATATCGTTTTAGTTTATATATAAAACGATTATCATATTGTATCTGCTAAAAACGACGATTCGATTGCGTATGATCACCCAAGATGCATCCGACATATGTATGATGATTGAAAGAGGGCATCAAGTAGGTTGATGCACTTGAATGGCTCAAAAAGAGTGAATGAAGATACATTCTTTTCATCAAAACAACTCAAGGGTGATAGATAACAATGCAAACACAAATATTCCCACCGTTTCTTCTGAGTGAGATTGAACTTCTCAAGATATTTTCTAACAAAGTTTTTTTTATAGCCCACTATTGGCCAAACCACCTGGGGCACAGTTTCTCTGGCCCTTTCCTAATCGGGGCTAAAATTACGAAAATGAATGAACAGCTTGGAGCTTGTATGAGAGTTGGTTTGTGGGCGTTCCACCACTGTTTTTGCAATTTGTAGGGACCCGAAAAGCCAATAGGGCTTGATGACCTATTTTTGTCGTCCTACGTACGACGAACGTATGTCGGTATGTCAAGTGGCTATGAATGGTCAAATTGTAGTTTTTAAACATAACAATATAATTGTTGTTGTATATGAGAAGACACGGCATCAATGTTGTTGTAGTTATTATTTAAACTATAATGATTTCGAATTCGTCAAATTTGTAATGAAACGATATGGATGTCGTTAAGTTATTACATAAGTTTGATACTATGACATAAACTATGTCATTTTAGTTAAGATTTTAACTAAAATGAGTTCAAACTCGTCAAATTTGTATTGAAACGATATGAATGCTGTTATGTTATTTTGTGGGTTTGACACTACAGAGACATAATTGGCGTTTTATATGAGAAGAAATGAGTTTGATGTCGTTTTAGTTACAATTTTCACTTAAACGAGTTCAAACTCGTTAAATTTGTAATGAAACGACATGGATGTCATTACGTTAATTCATGAGTTTGATACTACAATGACAATTGTTGTTGTATACTTAGAGGTACTAAGAATAACTAATTACAGCAGGTTTGCACCTTAGCATATACTAGATGCACACCTTGTTTGAAGAACAACTCGATGTCGTTATGTATAGCCATAACGACTTCTATATCATTACAAAAATTAGTGAAGTAGTTTGTATTTCATACTAAAACGATATCTAAATCATTTTTTGTTACAGGAATTATTTCAATATCGTTATATTAATCAGTGTATTTTTTGTACTGGAACGACGTCTATATCGTTTTGTGCTTCTGGAACGATTTCAATGTGATTATTAGAATGAGTGCATTTTTGTACTAAAACGACACTAATACTTAGTCACATGAACGAAATGTATATCATTATAGATTGAATATGTACAATATCAACAACCTGAAAGTTATAAAAAGCTACAAAAATAAGTATATTTAAATTATATTCAATATCCAGAATCATTACAGTTGCATGCACTAGCTAGTAGCTAGGCAACATCATAAAAATATCAACATCATGAAATTAGCAACTACTCCAGCAAAAAGAGATCCGAAGTAGCTCTCGTGAAGTTTATTTTTGTAATGTTTATCAAGTTTCTTATAAACATCTTACTACTTGCAATCGTCATTTTGTTGTGATTGTGGCGTCAACTTAAATCTTTTCCATAACATTGCAAATTATAAAATATGTACAAATATTAAAACAACTTATGGCAGTAAACACAATTCAATTCCTCATATATATATATGTAAAAACCAATACACATGATTCATAAGAAGCAACATGTTTTCAAACTTAACCAATAAAAATCCAATAAGAATTATTATTTGACAATCAAATGCATTTCCTGTGAACTACATTTGAAAATACAAAAAAATTACGTTGATATTCCTAAATGTGAGCTTGGAGTTGGCTTGAAAATAAAAAAGACAGATTTCTAACTCAACCCCTATCGAAGAGATCATTCCCTTTAAAAATTTCCACAATCGTCGACCTCAGTGAAAGAAGGAGAAGAGATGACTAAAAAAACTAAACAATTGAGTAAATAAAATTCAATTCCTCAATTTCAGAGAACAAAAATCAAGTATCATCTCACTAGAAACTGAAAAAAAAAATTATATGAAAACCCAACACACATGGTTTAGAAGAAACAACAAATTTTCAAACTCAACTAATAAAAACCAAATAAAAATTACTATTTGACGATCGAATCCATTTTCAGTGAACTATATTTGAAAATACGGAAAACTTACATTGATTTTCCTAAATGTGAGCTTGTAGTTGGTTTGAAAATAAAGATAGGTTTTGAACTCAACTCCCTACCAAATACGACGTTCCCTTTAAAACTTTAAACAATCATTGACAATGAGAAGAGATGGCTAAAAAAACTATACAACTATATAATAATAAAAATTAAGAAATTAGGTAGTTAGCACCGATCAAATCCTAATCCTAATTAGGAAAATGCCACTAATATGAGTTCTACCAAAAGTGATATGCCATATCACACAGAGGTAAATCAAATAAATTGGAACGTAGAACGACAATTTAAGTAAGTGCATATGAATTAAAAATGAATGAAGCTAAAAAAGAAGCTGAACTTAAAATTATTAATATAATTTTTGATTTTCATCCATGGAAATGGATAGCAATAATTGACAGTAGAAAAATCACAATAATTTTATTAAAAAAGAACAATAAAGGATGCCTTCCACGTGTAATTCAAATTGAAGGCTGGTTAATAGGCATTGAATGAATGCCTTTTAAAGCATCGAGAAACCTTTCACAACTAAAGCATGGGTTTGAAAACACTTGAAACAATTTATAACGATATACAGAAAATGATAAGATAGGAAGTTGGGGAAAATTAGTAAACTTTTTGATAATATGATTAAAATGTCAAAAATCTATTATTTAATAGGTTTTCCATTAACACAAGTGCATGCTAAGGGCCCGTTTGGTGGGGATTTTGAGAATTGATTTTTTGCCCGTTAGAAGAAAAGTGGGGTCCACATGTGAGAGAAGAAGTCAAAAATTACGGCTTGAATAGTAAAATAACGGTCAAAAAATCAATTTTTTGGGGCAAAAAATCCCTACCAAACGGGGCCTAAATATGAGATATACTTGTCAGTTTTACCGATAGATGCAGACAAGGACATGATGATAGAGAACAGGGTTAATTCAATTGCACATTTTTATGGTTATTCCTTTAACAAGACTGCTCGCTCATGCTCTATGCTTGATTTGCCAAAAAATGCATAACAACAAAGATTCAAAATGCCCTGGTTTGGAAAGAATCACCTTTTTTTTTTTTTTTTTTTTTGTATTAAAATGTAATGCTTATTGAAAATACTAGCATTGTTCTGACTTGACTCACCTAAGAACCATGATTGATTAGTAAGGAAAAATGTTCAACTCTAAGTAATACACATTGATGCTTGACACAATGGATATAACCCCCTACTTCCACTAATTGTGCCGTTAACCCAATAATGTCTCAATTTTCAAATTGAGTTTGAACTTAGAAAGGAATATAGCAATGCATTATATGAATTTTAAAAACACATATCACTAAGATTGCATCACCCAAAGTGTTAGTAGACAAGATTTGTTTGTCTCGTTGCCGAATAGGCACAAAAAAAATTAATTTTTAGACTGCCATAGAATATTAAATAAAAGGTTACCAACTCGAAAAGATTAAGGAGGCCATTACTTTACCGGATAATTAGCACAAAACGTCCTTACTTTTCAATGTTATTGTACAAATGTTCTTACCTTTCATTTTGTTTTTTTTGGCATTTTACCCTTACTTTTACTTATAATTGTAGAAATGATAAGTTTGATCAAAATTTTCATGTAAAATGACAAATATACCCCATATTTAAATAAAACAATAAAAGAAAAGAAAAGTTAAAGAATAAAATTGCAATCATACTCCCAAACTTTTTTAAAAAGTACAAATGAGTCCAAATAAATTATTAAAAGAGTAATTAGTACAAAACATTTATACTTTTCATTATTATTATGTAAAACGTCCATACATTTTATTTTTATATTTAATTGCAAAAATCATTATTTTCATCAATTTTCCCATTAAAAACTTTAAAATAACAAATTTACCCTCATCTTTAAATAAAGAAAATAAAAATGAAGAACAAATTGCAACTATATTTTCAAAATTATCGAAAAAGTACAAATAAATAATTTAAAAAGAAAGTGATTTTTATTTTTTAATTATTTATTTGAAATTTATTTGTACTTTTTTTTATAAAAAATTGGGAGTGTAGTTACAATTTGTTCTTTATTTTTCTTTTCTTTGTTTTTGTTTATTTAAATAGGGGGTATATTTGTTATTTTATAACTTTTAGTTGAGAAAATGGATGAAAATAACAATTTTATAATGAAATATGAAATAAGAGTGAAAATGTCAAAAAATGAAAGGTAGAGATGTTTTGCACAATAATAATGAAAGGTAGGGAATGTTTTGTACTAATTACCCTTTAAATAATTTATTTGTAATCATTTGCACTTTTTAAAAAGTTTGGGAGTATGATTGTAATTTATTTTTTAACTTTTCTTTTCTTTTTATTGTTTTATTTACATAGGGGACATATTTAATAGTTTATATGAGAAATTTGATGAAAGTGATGATATCCGCAATAAAAGATGAAAGTAAGGGTAAAAGTGCAAAAAAATAAAATAAAAATGAAAGGTAGTGAAGTGTTAAATAATAACATTGAAAGGTAAAAACGTTTTGTGCTAATTACTCTTACGTTACCAAAAATCAATGCTGGATATTCAGCAAATCTGAAGGAGAAGAGTTGGATATTCAAAGGAGAAAATGTTTTTTTTTTTTTTTTTAATTCCAAAGAAAAGGGTTTCACGTGAATGAAAGAAAGAAAAATTCCTAATTCTTTCTTCAATTTTTAGTTTACAAGATAAGGGTAAATGGGTCTTTTGACATTTTAAATAATTAAAATTCCTTTTATTTTGTTAATTTTAGTCAAAGGCTTGTTAGACAAAATGTGTATGAAGAATGGCCTTTTCAACTCATTTCCCTTATGTTATAAATTTATCATTATTTTCGAAAAATACATTTTCAAATATATAAAACCATTTTTTTTTCTTTTAGTGTATTGCAAAGCTAAAAACAGCAAACCAAATACACCTTTAATATCTCAAACCTTTCGTACGGTATTCAGTGCTTGTAATTTATGCTAGACTGTAAATTTGTAACTAAAATTTTTAGGTAAGCTTGCTTAAGGTCTATGTATACACTGTTTAAATTATAAATATATATAATTGAATGATAGATAAGTGAATAATATTTGTTAGTCGCACCAAATATATAAATAAAAATAATTTGACTATTTATAAACATTGGCCTAAGGTTGGCAACGATTCGGCTTGGGGTCGATTCTATCACCAAGCTACCAATTTTTTTGCCATACTATAAAGGCACCGTAACCACATAAGTCAGTTCATATTTCCGTTCAGCTCGATTTGGACATTAAATAACCATGAACAAGGGCAAATCTAGGACTTTGACTCAGTTAGGATGGTTGTTGACCGTCAACAGTCAACGTCCGTATATTGATGTTAGTTATTAATATCAAATTAATAATTTTAAAAATTATTCTATCTATATGTAAATACACTGAAACGTAAAAATCGTATATTTATATCAAATTACAGTACAGTACAATCCAAAATAATATAAAATAAATGATACATGGATCTCTTTGTGTTATCAATGTTTAATAAATTGTTTGCTCTACTAGAGATAGTTATGGGATTAGATGCATCATTACAAGAACTAGGTTGGGATATCGATAAAAAAATAATTCCACAATCTATATTGGAATTAAAATTAATTTTAAAATATAATTAAAGTTTCAATTTTCAATTCCCCATACCAATTTATCACAAATTATAAATTCCTCAATTTCTCATCTTCAATTTTCACAAATCACATTTCACAATACTCAAATTAATTTTTAATATCACAATTCACAGTTGATATACTCTCAAATTCTCATATAACATAAAAAAAAAAAAAAAAAAAAAAAACACAATACTAAGTCAATTTAGCAAATAATATCCTAAATGAAAATGCAAACAATATCCCAATTTTTAAATGCAAAATTCGAATTTAATAAACAATATAATCAACATAACAATACTAAACAATATCCTTGTCTCTTAATCCTTATGCATTGAACTTGATTCCTATTCAATAACTCAAAATTTCCAACCTAAATTCATATTTAATCTTTATTTATAGAAAGAATAATGGAAGTCTAATTGCCAAATTATTTTTTTTAACGGGTACTTATAAAAAAATAAATTAATTAACAGATAATTGGTTCAGGGTGGATTGACGCGTAAATACCATACCCATCCCGTCCCGAACCAGGTCATTAATACCATACCCACCCCATTGCGCTATTAGTTCGATTTTTTTCATCCAGTTCGATTCGATTAACCGCGATTTTCAATTTTGACGACTTGAATTGCCATCCCTACATTGGCCAAACATGCACTATAATTGTGAGTTTTAATTGACAAAAGTCCACCATAAACATTGGCCTAACATGCACTATATATAGACATTGGCCTAACATGCACTATTTGCATATTAATATTCTAGCATTGTTACTTGGAGTCAACAACTACTATTTTACTTTGCTTTCTACCTAAATAATTTTTGATATGTCATCAATTATTAATATGTCATTTCAAATTTACTTTAACTAACTTTACCACTAACCTATTAAATTAACGACGTATCAAAAATTAATTAGAAGAACAGTAAAATGGACAATAGATCTTGACTAGGTTACTTGCACCTTGTGATCATCCCACATGTAGTGCCTTGTAAAAGGTATGCATTTTTTTCTAAATAATCTTTTTTATTTGTAGTTCATGTGTGACCTAATTTACATAAAAAAATAAAAATTCATTAATCAAAATATATGCAGATTTGATTATGGCCATGTTCAGTAGTGATTATGAGAATTGATTTTTTGAACGTTAGGGAGAATAGCAGGGGCCACCTGTGAGTGAAAAAATCAAATATAAAGATTGAAATAATAAAATAACGATCAAAAAATTAATTTTTTGAGTTGAAAAAACACTATCAAACGGGCTATAAAATACGGTTGGCAAGGGAGAACCGAATTTGAAATTAGTACTTGTCATCCATCACATGATTAGATATGGGTTGTAACCATATGATGTATCTGCCAGACTGGCAATCGTTTAGAATCCAACGTGAATATCTGCTGGCGATTCCCTCATAATATTTTTGAATTGTAACCACAAATATTATTTTAAAAACATATATATCCAATCAAGAATCGTGAGATGATTAACAGCACTTTTGAAATTTGAATACAACACAGTGGTGCTGTACTGGGTTTAGGGTTCTTTTGTTGGTGGTGGGTTGATCTTCAGAGTGAGAGTACTTACTGAAATTAACAGATCTCACCAGCATTATACTGGGTTAGTGTCATTTCGATCTTGCTTGTGTATTGAGAATTAGATCTGTAATCTGTACCCGGAAATTTTTTGTATTTTTTGGGCATTTATGTCTGCATTTGCAATTTAGTACCATTGTGTTGTGATTTAGATGGCCGGCAATTATATGGGTCATTCTTAATTTCTTCAATGATTTTTTAGAGAAATACTTGAAATTGAACCACAAGTTTATTTGTTTTATCATGTTGAACTAGAAGATTCTCAAGAATCTGGTTTTCTTTGGGTATTATTGTCGAAAAGAATGCCATTTGGGTTCTTTTAATGATTCTTATGCAAAAACCAAATGTGCTTTCATTGAGCATTATCTGATTACGATGATTTCAAGGGTTTCACTAGTAAATGGCTTAAGTTTTTTTTATCGAGATGATTGTTCTAATACAATGCTTTTTAAAATGATTCAATGCTTTAGACTACACAATAAAGCATTGGGTAATTGCCATTCTGTTCTCTCTTATATTTTCTTTCTCTTCTATTGGATGTCAACTGAGTCCAGTAAATATGTCATAATCTTTTCTTAGCATCTGTTTCAGTTTGAATGGATTGCAGATGAGACCATCTCTTCTTCTCCTCTAATTTTTTCTGGGCAGCATTTTATGTCTCGCACCTCTAGACTTTCAATAGCAAAGCATATAAATTTTTATACATCCCAACTAAATTGTGAAAGTGATCAGAAGTCGGTGATGATAGGAAAGATTAAGTGATACAGTGTAGCATTTCTTTTATTGGTAGTACATTCAATACTTGAGGAATAAACTAAAAATTCAGTGATTTAATTATTGTAGCCCTTTTCAATTGCGTTTTACTTTTGGACCCAATTTCAAGTTACACAACCTTGTTTCTGTTTTCTCATGGTGTCTCTGTGATTGGTCTTTGCATTTAAACTATAGCATATCCGGTCAATCTAAATCCCATAATGTTTAGTTGCGTTCATCTATCCACTATCCACAATTATATAATGTTTGAACCTTCGAATTGATTTACGTTACTGACAAAATTTCTATAATGAAAGAAAATACATATTTTGCCAATAAAAAGAAATTTAAACCACTTCAGTTACATATGATTCCACAACATTTGATTTTGAATGACCCTCATAGATTTGATCTGTAACCCATTTCTAGTTTATTTGTGCCTGTCTTTATATCTGGTTTGATGTTTTAGTTTTTACTTGCCTAATTCTAGTTCTTTATATTTTCTCAATGATTGTATAACAGTTAGCCAAGATGGTTGCACAAGACTTCACTGTGGACTTAAGTAAACCTCTTGTCTTCCAGGTAAAAGCTTTTGCATTTTATCCATTTTTGAATCAACTAGGTATTTTCCGTGGAAATTATTTGCCCTTAATCCTTGCATGGTTGTGTCAACCTAAAGAGCACCCTGTTAACAAAGAGTGACAATTTTCTAGTAGATCTAAGCAATGAACATAATGGCCATGTAAACAGACCCCAAATCTATTAGGAATAAGGGTTATTTTTGTATTTTATCATTTATCCTTGCGTGGTGTAGCTCCTTATGGTCATCATTTTTTACTTGACTGCTGCTGTCTTTCATATTTTAAAGGGGCTAGGAACTTTTGTATAGGAGCTGGGTCTGGCATCTTTTTTGATGCATGTAAGGAGCATTTTAAATATGAATGAACATGAGCATAGTTTGAGATTGAGTAAAGGATATATTTTCCACCACATATACTCAGTAAAATGACTTTCTTTTACAATCTATTGATGTGCTTGCACTCGTTGTTGATTTGTGTTCCTTATCTTTCCTCTCATTTTTAACCTCATAATTTCTTTGATATTTTCAAAGGTTGGCCATCTTGGTGAAGCTTATCAGGAGTGGGTTCACCAGCCAATTGTTAGCAAGGAAGGCCCTCGGTTTTTTGAAAGTGATTTTTGGGAGGTACTACTTTCATATGTTTGTGTCAAGATCAATGCCATCATCTCAATTCTTATTATTTTGGAAACATTTAAGGTTAAGAAACATTTTCTTCTACATATTAGTAATGTGTACCCTTAAGATGTTGCCTCCTTTTCAACAGTTTTTGACACTCACAGAGTGGTATGTAATTCCCCTCATTTGGCTCCCAGTTGTTGGCTGGTTCATCTTAAAATCCATTCGAATGGACCTTACAATTCCTCAGGTGGCACTGTTTATGGCATTTGGCATCTTCATTTGGACATTGCTAGAATACACTTTGCATCGTTTCCTTTTCCACATCAAGACAAAGAGCTACTGGTTAGATACTCTGTCCTCTCGCTTTATCTCCATTCAAGTCTTATGTCTGTCCTCTTCCATGTCTTGTCTAAATGCGTGTTTGAAATTTGAACCTTAACTCCACATTACTTGTTTTCATCTCTTTATCAAATAATTTTGTTGACTTATAGGGGAAACACCATTCATTATCTTATTCATGGTTGTCATCATAAGCACCCAATGGATGGTCTACGCCTTGTCTTCCCTCCAGCTGCAACTGCTATTCTCTTGTTGCCAGTAAGTTTTTGCCCTGGACACTAATGTCACTGCTATTTCATAGGCCTCTGAAACCTATATGTTTTTTTTGCCTGTTTTTAGATACTTTTGAGAAGTGCTGGGGCTCTACTTAATCTGTAGACAGAATGTGTAGCCTGAATAACCGGGCTAACATTGCTGTAAATTTTGTGCTAGTTTTGTACTATTCAGCTGTGATTGTTTGAATTTTGCTATCAGTTTAATTAAGAGCTTCATAATTTATTTCGGAATTTAATCCCTTATACTTGTCATGATTCTAGGACAGAGAACAAGTGCTAAAATATGGCTTTTAGCCCCTTGGCCTCCATAATCTCAAAAATTTATTCTTCTCTCTTATTTTCAAACATACAATCTTCCATAAAATAATATTAAACAAAAATCGAAAACTTTTACATCTTTTTCAACTACACATTTTCCAAAAAACACTATTCCAAAAATTATAATTGCCACATAATGGGGGCCAAATGGGGGCTTAATATAAAAGACATCTTAGTCTGAAACACAGTATTGAATTTATGAAATTTGTGGTTCTGCACTTCTGCCTTGAGATGTTGCTTTACATTTGAACTGTACTGAATTTAATTTTCAGGTCTGGAACTTGATGAATTTTTTAGCTACTCCTTCTACTGCTCCTGCTATGTTTGGAGGTGGTCTACTGGGTTATGTGATGTATGATATAACCCATTACTACTTGCACCACGGACAGCCAACCAGTGAAGTACCTAAAGGACTCAAGGTACAGAGTTTTTATCATCGGTTGCTCACTTATATCTGAACAATGTTTGATTTTTTATGCTCTGACATTGTTCATTCATGATATGCAGTACTAGTTGAATTTTTGTCCTTTCATTGGATTCAAAATTATATAGATAAAATTAAGCCATGTTTAGCTCATGTAACCATATTTATAAACTGTTTATAAACACTAAACCCCTGTTTGATGGCCATTGTTTGATAAAAACAAAGGTTTGAATAGGTGATTTTTAGGAGAATGTATGATTAAAAAGTAAGGTAAAGTTTCAGCTTTGCTTTCAGAATGTTTTGTTGTGTGAATATGTGGTTGAAAGTGAGTATGTAGTTGAAAATAATGGTTGTCAAACAGTGGCTAAATCATTTTTTATCCACACATTTAGGGGAATCACAAGTATTTTCCACTTATCCGTCACTTATTTCTATATCTTTATAAATTAAAACATGCTTTTAATGCATGCTACTACCATTCTGATGGGCATTGTTGAACCCCAAAGTTGATTTTAGTTTCACTAGAACCTGGAAGTAAGATCTTCCTACCAGAAGGTCTAATTTCCAAAGTGCTTATGGTCTAACTTCCCTTTTTTTGTTCATGCAGAAATATCATTTGAATCATCATTTCCGCATCCAGGATCGAGGCTTTGGTATCACTTCCCCACTCTGGGACAAGGCCTTCGGAACACTACCTCCATTGAAATTGGCTAAGAAGAATAGATGACTGTAATGTGGAGAAGGCGTCTTGGAAGTTATCTATAATCGAAATATTCTTGCTTCAGCCATTGTGTACCGTCTGTCTTCTGAGCAAGTTTAGCCTATTTGTCCTGTTCAACATTTTTCTTTTAGGAATTTGTATAAAACAAACTGATGATCGTGTATCAAGTATATCATACTTGGTTACATGATTTATTTTTGATTATTTTCACTGGACTACTTTTTTAGATACTTGATCAGCTTCTGCTATGGTATATAGGCTATTTTTGAGCCCATTTATGGAGAAAATATATTTTATATTAGTGATTTTTTGAGAAGAGTAATGCAATTTAAAACTACTGATGTTTAACATTAGTCTAAATGGCAGCACAATGACATTATTATATGTTCAATTAAATATAATGAATTATGATCCATTTAATACGATCTATGCATTTATGCTACGCTTGTCACCCATTATTTGGAAAAAAATGTATTATGGAATAGTGATTGATGTTGAAATGTGGTTAAAAAAGAAAGAAATTTTTTTGATTTACGTGTAATATTATTTTAACGAAGAATGTGTGGTTGAAAATGAGTACTGTAAAAAAAAGAATGTGAAAAAATGGATGACAAATAGTAGCTTAGATTGGTAATCAACATTATTGATATTGGATGTCATTATTCTTTAGAGAATGTGCGGTGGTAAGAAAGAAAATTTGAATTTACATATAAGATAATTTTATTGAAAGTTTGTGTGATTGAAAAAGAGTTGGAAAAATGAGTTATTTGAAAATGGGCTCAAAGATATGCATAATCTATTGTTCCAACACATTTTAATGTGCAGATAATTGTTGCCTAATCTCAGTTTCCTTGCTACTCATTGAACAGTTTTGATCAATGTTTTAAAAATCGACCCGATTGTTGACTTAGAAAAGTTAAAGGGTCGAGGGTTAAAAGGTAAAATCGGTTGTAATAAATAAATAAATAATATATCAAAACAATTGACAAAATTAAGTTAATTTTTCAAATTAATTAATGTAGAGACAAAAACACCTATTAACTATTACATTTGGGTACATTTAATTTTTATTTTGTCATAAAGTGAATTGTTTAATACTTCTATAGTATTTTATTGTGCCAATGTATTTATAAAAAAAATTAAAAAAATCCCATATATTTGATTGAAAATGAAAAAAAAAATAATTTGAAAAATAATTTACACCAACATGATTTACACCCCCCCCCCTTTATGTAGAGTTACTAATTTTTTAAAATTTATTTAACTTTTATAGTTGGTAAACTATTTAGAGGGTGTTTGAAAGCTATTTTTATGTGAAAATGCATTTTGAAATAGTAAATTAATGGAAAATGTGTAGTTGAAAAATAAGGAAAAGTTTTTGATTTACGTGTAATATTAGTTTAATGAAGAATGTACGATTGAAAAGAAGAAAGAGAAAAATGCATTTTTATAAAAATGAGTACCAAACATGATTTTAGTATTTACCAACTTAGCAATCCTTTTATGAATCCCACATTGCACTCTCATAGCAAATCCCTTGAAGATCACTTCTATATATGTGCAAGCTAATGAATTTTAGGTGTTTGATATGGGCCTTTAACTATTGTGGGCTGAAACCATAAAACAATAACATTTAGTTTAGTTATCCAACTGGCAAAATCAGAAGAATCGATAATGGCTCATTCGGTTTTCGGTTTAGAGTCAAAATTTACCCCCCCTTTTTTCCTGTTTTAAATTTAATGATTTTTGAGTATTAATTGAACTGGCTGTTGGATCGGTTCACGGTTTTTAAGGTTGAACTGGTCGGTTCAATCCGATTTTGATAACATTGGTTTTGACTTTTGATTTACGATTGAATTCATCTAATGTGTTTTTAGAGTGTGATTGATATGAAAAATATCACATAAGAAAAAATGTTTTCCTTGTTTTGAGGAAAACAAAAACATACCCATATTAAAAAAATATTTTCCTTAAAAAAAAGAAAAATTAAGCATATTTTCAAAAGTTAGAAAATATTTTCAATGGAAAAAATAGTAGTCAAACACTCTAAAGTAGGAGTTTGGATGAAAAAAATGATATTTTTCATGGAAAATAAATGTAATCAAATACATTCTTATTTCTTTTGCTTTTTGACATAGAATTAAAATGAGAATAAGAAAGAAAGGGAAAGAGCGAGGAATAAGAGAATTTGATACTGAGAATACAGAGACTTTATAGGGAGAAAATATCAATTTTATTCAATATCAACGTATAACTATTAAAACGTATAAGCCTTTTTATATAGGTTTAATTAATTTAATTTGGATAAGATAAATAATTATTAAAATCTTAAAGAATCTATTAAATAAAACTCTAGTTAATTATCCAATTTGAAAAGTATACTATACCATACATAATATATTTTCTAGAATTTTCATCATTTCCACTTGGTCGAGAGAACTCAAATTTGATGAGATAGACTCTACTACAATTTTCAAGGATGTCGATCTTTTGTCTTGACCATGTAGCTTTGACAGTAACAATATTGAACTCTTGATAGCAGCATATGGCTTAATTTATACCAAGGTGAACAATATCTCTTATTAACCAAATACCAATAGCCAACTTCGAAAAGCATCATATGGTGCAATTCATCTATGAAAAAACAATAGGCGGCACATAATGAGTACAATGGACTAGTAACATAGATTGGCCTGCAAAAACAATAAAGGTAATTAGCGTGAAACGTCTTTACTTTTCAATATCATTGTGCGAAATGTTCAAATCTTTCATTTTATTTAAATAGGAGGGCATATTTGTCATTTTACATTTATTTTTATTGAGAAATAGAATGAAAATACCATTTTCGACAATAAAAGTTGAAAATAGAGGTGGAAAAGCCCATAAATGAAAAGTAAGAAAGTTTTATACAGTAGCATTGAAAAGATAATGACATTTTGTGCAAATTACGCAAACAATAATGATAACAACAGTGGTTTGAACGTGCCTAGATAAGAAATTATTCAGCTATATTGAAAAAATAACTATCATTAAAGTGTGATAGCCACTTAAGTAGGCCTCTTTTTTTTTTGGTCAAATAAACACCTAACAGAGTATAGAAATCACCATTAAACTACCTGAGCCTAACTTTCTGATGCAGGAGGATCCGAGTCGAGTGATGCTGATTTGTCAGATAACACGATGATGGCGCTGAGATACCATGAGATGGCGGATCGGCGCAAAGATGGAAAGTAAATCACTATTATTTCCTTAATTTGGAGAATTTGATGCGTCTTTGATAATTTGGTCATAACTTTGGCTACGGTTATCAGAATCTCTATTATGACCCCAATTCGGAAAGCTCTCTTAGGCGCGCACGTCGTGGCCACCCAGCTATGCTTGGTGGACGTCAATTTCGAGCCCAAAATCCACTGTTTTCCTTTCCAAAATTCAATTTTAAGTTATTTTTTACTATTTATGGTAATATTTCGTTTCCTTTTTTTTCATATGTTAGAAAACTCGAATTGAGCCAAATTTTTGGCAACTTACTTCTTTTACTTAATATTTTATTTTGGTATAATTTTGGGATTTTGTCATTTTTGGTAAATTTCCCATAATTTCGTATTTCGCAGCTATTTAACCTGGATTGTGGGTTAGTTTTCATCATTCTGCATTATTAATAATATTTAGTTGAATTCAGAGTATTTTCTCTGTTTTTTTGGGCTTTTTCTATCGTTCTTTTCTTGCTAATCATCTGCTACGACAAGCCAATAGGATAATCACTATCTTCCCCGGCGTCATTTTCGCGTCAAAAGCAAGCTAATAAGTGTGTGTGTGTATATATTAATCTTGCAATAAAAATTAGGAAAAATGACGACAGATATTGGAGATAAAAGAATGTTACATTTAGTAGGCAATAATCGAATATAGATAAGAAAAATATGCAAACAAATAATTGCCACGGATAACAACGTGGTAACCTGGGGAATAGGATCGGCGCAAAGATGGAAAGTAAATCACTATTATTTCCTTAATTTGGAGAATTTGATGCGTCTTTGATAATTTGGTCATAACTTTGGCTACGGTTATCAGAATCTCTATTATGACCCCAATTCGGAAAGCTCTCTTAGGCGCGCACGTCGTGGCCACCCAGCTATGCTTGGTGGACGTCAATTTCGAGCCCAAAATCCACTGTTTTCCTTTCCAAAATTCAATTTTAAGTTATTTTTTACTATTTATGGTAATATTTCGTTTCCTTTTTTTTCATATGTTAGAAAACTCGAATTGAGCCAAATTTTTGGCAACTTACTTCTTTTACTTAATATTTTATTTTGGTATAATTTTGGGATTTTGTCATTTTTGGTAAATTTCCCATAATTTCGTATTTCGCAGCTATTTAACCTGGATTGTGGGTTAGTTTTCATCATTCTGCATTATTAATAATATTTAGTTGAATTCAGAGTATTTTCTCTGTTTTTTTGGGCTTTTTCTATCGTTCTTTTCTTGCTAATCATCTGCTACGACAAGCCAATAGGATAATCACTATCTTCCCCGGCGTCATTTTCGCGTCAAAAGCAAGCTAATAAGTGTGTGTGTGTATATATTAATCTTGCAATAAAAATTAGGAAAAATGACGACAGATATTGGAGATAAAAGAATGTTACATTTAGTAGGCAATAATCGAATATAGATAAGAAAAATATGCAAACAAATAATTGCCACGGATAACAACGTGGTAACCTGGGGAATATCATTCAAATGAAGTAAAACTATGACAAAGTCATGTGAAAGTCGAGCAAAGGTGTAGACAATAACACATTTGACACGAAGTCGAGGACAAGTGGAATGTGTGGCTTAGGTGGAAATGGAAAATGACCCTGTCCAAATAGCATGGCCTGGTGGTAATACCCCAAGTAATTCCCTTGATATGTCATTGTTAATTGCATAGATTACATATTTGAACACTAACGGGGACACAACACGATATTCAAAATCCTCATGTTAATACATCCTGAATTTTCCTAAATGTTTTTATTTGATGGAATTCAATTTCTTTTAATCAAATTTTTGGAATTGATATACCATTCCCTGATCCTTATGCTGGCAAAGAACATGCATATTACTAAATCGCTGGAAGATAGTAAACCCAATTATTACTACATAAGTTGAACTTTTTGTGGAAGAACGAAATTCTGGTTAAACTTGTTGCAGATTTTTCTGTTGGTGAAGCAGCGGAATACTCTGTTCATCTCTAAAAAAGTTGCTTGGATCAACCCGAGTTTTCACTTTTGCCAGTATCTTGAGGTTTCCTTTGAAATATTTTCTTCCCCAGATCATAGCTTCTGAGTAGCTGGTGTTATCCTGGAGGTTCATCCCTCAATCAAGATCCCTGTAATTGATGTAAGCAGCCTGAGGAAAGCGTGAAACATAAGGTTTCATTAGCCTGTAGAGCGTCTTCATCTAGTTTATATGCTTCTCGGATTCAGCTTCTCCATTGACAAGCCATTTAAACAGGTACTGCACTGGCGGACCGGGGGGGGGGCATGCAGGGTCAATTGACCCCCCAGTTTTTAGGATTTTTTTTAATATAAATAAATATTAGGTCAAAATTAAAATAGACAAAGGTCACAACTCACAAACCCAACATTTCTTCCCTGCTTGGCAGATAACGATTTCTCTCTCTCTCACTCGACTCTTGTCTCTCACTCTCCGGCAGCGGCAGCCCGGCTCTCGCACATTGCACTCCCTCCCACCGCCGACCACCAGTTCCTTGCTTCTACAGATTCACAGACTTACTCTTTGCCACGCAGTGCACTGTGCACGCACCGGTGACCGGCCAGTCGGCCACCCCCACCTGGACTGCTTCGTGCCTGACCTGCCTCCATGCGACTGCAACAGTCGACGCCGGACCCGGGCTTACCATTTTTACTGACTTGAAAGTTGAAGGTTAGAAGCTTTACTCAAAATTTTTCTTTGAATTCTTCTCGACAGTAACTGCTTAGTGCTTAGCCAGTTAACCTGCTTTGCTGCTGCCTGCCTGCCTCTCTGCTGTTAGAGTGTTAGTTACTTCTATTTCTTGAATTGGATTTATGTACAATACAATTAATCAATTATGATTCCTGTTCGGTTTTCTGCCCAATAAATGTAATTTAGGGATTTCTGAATTCTAATTTAGGGCTTTGATTTAGGAAATTGACCAATTTCTGATTTTGGGTTTGTTACTTATTTATATGTAAATTGATAATATTGATTTGGAATTGGGAAGATTGAAAATTTGAAACTGTCTGACTTTTGGTAGGAAATTAGGTATGACATAGTATAAACTGATTTACGCATTTCTAATCATGTTGATTTTTCATTTTTGGTTTGTTTCAGTTATGGAAAAATACTTTAAACGTATATCTGCGATTTCCTGTGATGAACAAAATATTGATGAAAGGAATGTTCGAAAGAAAAGGGATGAAAATGATGTTCGAGATATTGATGTTGGGGGTATTGGAGATGTTGATGTTGGAGATGTTGGGGATGTTGGAGACGTTGGGGATGTTGGAGACGTTGGGGGTATTAGAGAGGTTGGAGATGTTGATGTTGGATTTGGGGGTATTGGTGACGTTGGAAATGTTGAGGATATTGGAGATGTTGGAAATAGTGGAGATGTTGGGGATGTTGATGTTGCACAGCTTCCCTCTGATCCTGGATTGAGAGTTCCAATACAAAATTATGATATTAATATTCGAGATGTGATTCGAAGAGCATATATGCAAAGAGGTCCTTGTCAGCCTCGCAATCATATATTTCCACCCACAAGAATAGGTAAAATAGACCGACGATTTTGTGTTTCGTGGTATAATGAGCATCCCACTTGGTTGGAATACAGCATAGCAAATGATGCAGTTTTTTGCTTTTATTGTTATCTTTTCGGTTTGAATGGTGGTTCATTTGTTAAAGGTGGATTCTCAAATTGGAAAAAGAAAGAATATATAAGAAAACACGTTGGGGCTTCAAGTAGTGCACACAATCAAGCTCGGGTCCAATATGAATTGTTCAAGAATCAAGAACAAAGTATTAGATCTTGTCTCGTTAAACAATCGCATCAAGCTCGAACAAATTATCGAATCCGATTAAATGCTTCAATTGATTGTGTTCGATTTCTTCTACGATAGGGGATGGCATTTTGTGGACATGATGAATCTGAAGATTCAAACAATCAAGGAAACTTTCTTGAACTATTGCATTGGTTGTGTGATCATAATCCCGAGATTAAGGCCGTTGCTTTGACAAATGCACCTGAGAATTTGAAATTAAGATCACCAAGAGTGCAAAAAGATATTGTAAGTGCTATCGCTTCTGAATGTCTACATGTGATTATAAAAAATATTCGTGATAGTTTCTTCTCAATTTTAGTTGATGAATCTCGAGACATTTCTGTGAAAGAGCAAATGTCAGTTGTCATTCGTTATGTGAAGGATGGGTGTATATTGGAACATTTTATTGGTGTCATTCATGTTTTGAATACCACAGCTGCCTCACTTAAGGCTGCAATTGATCAATTATTCTCAACGCATAGTTTAAGCATATCTAATTTGAGAGGTCAAGGATATGACGAAGCTAGTAACATGCGAGGTGAGTATAATGGCCTCAAAGCACTTATTTTGAAAGAAAATCCAAGTGCTTACTATATTCATTGCTTTGCTCATCAACTTCAATTAGCTCTTGTAGCCGTGGCACAGAAACATCCGAAGATTGAAACTTTCTTCACTATAGTACATAGATTGGTGAATATTGTTGGAGGATCAGCTAAACGGAGTGATCTTATTCGAGAGAATCAAAGATTGAAAATTCTTGAATCACTCAGTATTGCTGAAAAATCAAGCGGACAGGTCTCAATCAAGAAATTACTCTTCAGCGTCCTGGGGATACACATTGGGGCTCTCACTATAGTTGTTTAATTAACTTGATTACCATGTTTTCAACTATAGTCGAAGTCATTGAGATGATTGCTACTGATTCTACAAGTACCGGAACAAGAGGTGATGCATGCATTTCATTGGAGTTGATGTTAAGATTTGAATTTGCATTTAATCTATATCTCATGAAAAAGATTTTAGGGATTTCAAACGAATTGTCAAAAGCATTACAAAGAAAAGATCAAGATATTGTCAATGCTATGAAATTGGTGCAGATATGTAAAACACAACTCCAAACCATGAGAGATGATGGATGGGATTCTTTTTTGGGAGTGGTTTGTTCGTTTTGTGAAACTCACAAGATCAATGTTCCCGATATGGATGATATGTTCATAACTGTAGGTCGTTCACGGCATGAGACAGTGACAAATTTGCATCATTTTCGTGTGGAAATGTTTTATGCCGTCATTGATATGCAACTTCAAGAGTTGAATGATCGTTTTTCTGAAGCAAATAGTGACTTGCTTATTTGTGTTGCATGTTTATCTCCAAATAATTCATTTGCTGCTTTTGACAAGATCAAATTGATTCGACTATGTCAGTATTATCCGGTAGATTTTGATGCAGCAGATATTCTAGAACTTGATGATCAACAAGATACGTATATTATTGATACGCGCACTTCTGAAGACTTTGAAGAATTACAAGGCATTAGCGATCTTGCACAGAAGTTGGTTGTGAAGAATAAACATGAAGTGTATACATTAGTCTACAAACTTGTGACACTAACCTTAGTTCTTCCCGTGGCTACTGCTACAGTCGAAAGAGCATTTTCTGCGATGACTTACGTCAAAAATCGTCTGCTCAATCGAATTGGAGATCAATGGTTGAATGATAGTTTTATTGCATATATTGAGAAGGATATTTTTGATAAGATTGAAAATGATGTAATTATTGAACGTTATCAAAGTATGAGAACACGTAGAGAGCAATTGTAATAAGATATATCTTATTTTAATTTTTTCATCACTTTTTTAAAAGTTCGTTACTGACCCCCTAGTCTAAAATGTCTGCGTCCGCCACTGAGGTACTGTTTGTTGTACAAATTTCCTTTTCTGTGGGGAAAAGGAAGCTCAGATTCTGAGATTTCATCCATCCTTCCACCAAAAGGATCCAAGATCATGTCACGTGTTATTCCATCCAGAAACATTTCTCGTACTTTCTCCCAGGCGCTTTTAGGTATTGGTTCCTCCACGAAATCTGACTTCGCCTTGAAATAGCTCTCGTCGTGTACAGTTCTGTCCAATAGAACTTCCAATGTCTGTCCTCTTTCATATCCAGGGAAATGGAGAATGGATTCTATCCAACTCATTTCGATACAGTCTTCTGCTTGAAGACCTAACTCAGGGAAACTCTTATCCATTATCGGCAATAGCTCATTTACTGGTCCTAGAAAGAGTGAATTAAACAGGGCTTTAACTGTCTTCTCATTATCTTTACTATCTATACCAGGAGATTGAATTATTACTCTGATGAATAGTTCTTTGGGCAGATTATTTGCTATGTGTTGCCACTTGTGTACGAGTTTTGTGCCTTCTAGATCCATCTTCTTTCTAATGGTAAAAACTGTTACTACTGGTGGAACCTGAACCAACTTGATTTTCCAAGCAACTATGATCCCGAAGCTTGCTCTTCCACGTCCTCTAATTGCCCAGAACAAATCTTCGCCCATTGCTTCTCGATCAAATATGCGTCAATAATGTTATCTGCTGCAAGGCCATATTTCCTCGTCATGATACCGAATCTTTCTCCACTAAAATGCCCCCCAACGCCGACACTCGGGCATATCCCTGCAGAAATCCATGGATTTTACTGTTCTGGGCAATGCTGTAATAAAGCTCCCCAACCGTTGCTGACACGAACCATCCCGATCACCCTAATGGATCCGACACATGTCGTGCGCCGATGATAGATGTTCGTGAAATTATTTCTTTCGATTTAAAACTACCGCAAGTATACGGTTCATTAACAAGTAATAAAGTGGATTAAATGAGTCCGAATATCGTCCCACAGAGATTGATTAGTTTAATTTTATCTATCGTCGCCTTAACCGAAACAATAGAAATTCTTGATATTTTTGCTAACTAAATTATGATTTAATAACCTACTTATAAATATGAAGCCTAAATTAACTAGATTAAATGTGTGATTATAACTAAATGTAAGTTTTATAAAAATATGATAATGAAATGCGTACTAGGATTCCGAATCCCCTTATATCAATCCTCTTTAATCCGAATTTTATAAAATTGACAACACGATTCAATTATGAAGATCAATATTCCTAATTTGTTTAACAATCTCTCTCGAGTAGAATTAAACCTATTTTCACATGCGATTCGACTATATTTCTATAAGGGATGCGAACATATAAAAATGCATTAAAGATTTATGAATACTTAAAGATCACGTAAAGCATAGCGGTATATTTCTATCCCCTATCGAACTTTACGATAATTAACATAATGTCTAACTTATTTTCCATCTCTCGAGGGTAAAACAAGCCACAAAGCTCATACAACTATTGCGCACATAATTGTAGAGAAAATAAAATCCATGCCAATCATTCAATAATTAAAAACATGTTTTAACATCAAATTAATAAAATTCAAGATTAAGGGTTCATAATATAAGGTTCATCGCAAATCCTAGCACATGAAAATCTAACCTAACATAATGGGAAATAAAGAGAAAAATAATAATTAAAACCAAGGAAGAACATCACCCAATTGATTCTTGAAGTGAAATCTTGAATCTTGAAGTAGATTGCCTTGTTTTTGCCTTGTTCTTCCTCTCCAAATCCTCCAAAATTGTTTATAATCCCCTCCAATTCTGTAAAAGTGACGTCCCCTCATTCTGGTCGAGTTTTAGTTTATATAGAACCCTAAAAATCTCCTTTCCATAAAAGTTTCGGCGAAATAAGGAAACTGCTGAATCGGCCCCGAATCTTGTTATATGCGACCGCATAGTACATTTCTATGCTGTCGCATAGAGTAAAAAAATTTGAGAAAAAGTTCTCGGGAGGCTTCTATGCGACCACATAGAATTTATACTATGCGACCGCATAGTTATACAATTCTTTACGCTGGACAACTTTTAGTATTTTGGTCATAACTTTCTCTCCTGATCTCTGATTGAAGTAATTCAAAGTGCATTGTGAAGAAATCTCAATGATCTACACTTTTGATAGAAATAGGCTTCCTCAAATTCTGATGTTTACTATGTCAAAAATGAATCTCAAGTAGAGATTAAAAATCACGAACATAACTTTTTCGCTTGAAAGTTGATACTTGATAATACTTCGATCATATTTCACCTCTTGACTCCTTTCCTCATCCGATTAACCTCTAACACTCTTGAATCTTCATTCCATTTCCCGTCTCATCTATGAATTATTTGTAACTTGGTCCCCGAAATATCACTTTGCTCCATTTTAGTCTTTTTTCGGCTCTTTTCTTCTTAATTTCACGATGTTCATCGGTGTTCCCTACAATTCACAAATATAACTAGATTAAGTCACAATTCAATCATTTTGCTCATTATTAAGTCATGTTTGTGACCTAAATAAGTGTGCAAAAACATACTTATCAAACCCCTCAAACTTGAACTATTGTTTGTCCTCAAACAAGATTTATGAAAATTTATCAGTGCAAAAATGACATCAACCTTTACCTGTTAAATGCAAATCGACGTGTGTGTGTGAATTCATGCCAACATATCAGGTTCATGCTGAATTTGAGTCCCGACCCCAAGTGGTCAAATGTATCCTTACTCACTCGAGAGATACACAACCCCCCAAACTTATTCTTTTCACTCAATTATCCCGGGATTGTATTTTAAAATTAGGAATTTACATAGCTGTAGTCCTTACCCTCTCGTAGTTTGGATTGATCTCACTATCACAAGTTTACATGTCAACAAGTGAAGGCTCTCCTAAGTTTGATTGCTTCGACACTCAAGATTAAACTAGGTTACTTGCCTCGCCTTAAAGGTATAGTTTCTTCAACCAAATGTCCAAGGGCTTTTCTTCATATTATTGCCTCTCTTTTGTTTTTCTCGCTTTTCTCTAATTTTTTGAATTATTTTTTTATTTTATATATCATTATCATCTTCTCATTTGCTTTCTATATAACCCATTTAGCGAGCTTTAGGCCGGTTACTCCCAAACCAGTTGGTTTTAGGGCACCAGGTTTTAAACCCTTACAGGCTTATTCACTCGAGTTATAAAGGCTCGATCAGATGACTTTTTATTAACCTCTTTCCCTCTTGCTTTCTATATGACCCATGTATCGAGTTTTGGGCCGGTGACTCCCAGATCAGTTGACCTTAGGGCACCAGATTTTGAAATATCCTTACAGGCTTATTTGCTCGGGTCATAAAGGCATGAAAAGAAGTCTCTTATTCTCACAAATTAATTTTATGCCGTTATTGTTCTAGACATTTAGTTTCCAAAACCAACCCCTAATTTAAGATTTTCACCTAATCTTCACCTCACTGGTTTAGGCAATCCACACAATAAAATTTCATGCACGGAGCCCCCGCTTATCTCAATGTTCCCTATAATAGCTCAACCAATTCCAAACTGTCTCAAGGTGGTTATCGTGTTAATTCAATAGAGGATTATCATTCTTTTCCTACTTTATGCTCAAAATCCAGTCATGCACCTAACATGTCAATCATGAATAGCGTATATAGATAATGTCAAGTATTGCATCACAAGTATTGGTTAATCTATTCAGCACTATATCCAAAGTTTATGAATTATACCAGTCCAATAGTCACATCATAGCCGGCAAGGCTATCAAGCCCACACAAGCATGCAAAAATCGAAATATAGTAGACTGAATAAAATGCAAAGAATTTTTTTTAAACACTCATCAAGCACATAATATGCAGTTATGAAACATATATATTGATGAATATAGGCAAAATGATGAAAAGATGTTCGTGTCCAAGATTATGTCACCCACCCTCAAACTTAGATAATACATTGTCCTCAATGTGAAGATGAAATAAAAGTGTAAACAGATATAATTGAAGACAATAGTAAACTAAAAGCACAAGATGGGGTACGAGTACTTCCCTGATTTATATGGAGGTGGTGAATGAAAACTAGGACTCGCAGTGTTTCTCCTTTCCCTGTGACATTCTTTTTAGTGACATCCTGTAAAAGTGCAAAGTATGCGTATTAGTTCGCATGGTGTAAACAGATGCAACTGAGGCAAGAAATAACCTACGTAGTGTACAAATCCCCCAAATTTGCTTCAAGGTGCATGTGTACATTATTGGTGTGCAAAATGCATAATTTATGTCTCAACATAAGATTTACATCACAAAAATGTGAATCACCAAAGAAACTTCATTCAAAACATGCACTTTGTTCAATTTGACACATGACTGACTAAAATAGGACTTCAACCTCATGACTCGTGCTCAGTGCATTGGGACTCGTGTAAACCATGCTTAGACTCCATGTGATAGGGATGTATGATCGATGACCTAAAACTATTGATAATGCTAAAAAAATGAAAAGTTCCTAAACTATTACAAAATGAAGTAAATGAAAGGATAGAACGTTGGGTTGCCTCCCAACCAGCGCTATTTTATAGTCGATAGCCCGACTTTTGGCATAGGTGTGTTATGGCACTTTAAATATGGCTTGGGAGGTCCTGCATAGTTTGTTCAATATGGTCTTGTTCCGCATTGCAGTTATCCTCGACACTTCAAACTTGTCTTTTTTCACGTGGTGTGACTCTCCCTCATCATCCGTTTGAGACTCCACGGTGTATACCTCGATCTCCTTTGAGTCAATGAGAATGGATTGAGGGTGCATCATATTAGCCTCCTGTATGTCTGGCGGTTTCTTCAATTCGTAATTGTAGGGGATTCCTATGTCAATCACATCTATCTGGAAACAGTTGTCTGGCTCGGTGAGATATTTCATTACTTTGAAAACATTAAAAGTGGCCTGCTCCTCACCCAGTCTCAGAGTCAATTGTCCTTGTTGCACATCTATGAGAGCTCTTGTAGTTGCCAAAAATGGTCGCCCCAATATGATAGGCACGTCCTTGTCTTCCTCCATGTCCAGAATTAAGAAGTCCGCTGGGAATATAAGTTTATCCACTTTGACCAATACATCTTCGATAATCCCTCGTGGATGTGTAAGTGATCGATCAACCAGCTGTAGAGTTACTGTAGTTGCTTTAGGCTCTCCCAATCCTAGTTTCCTGAAAATAGAGAGTGGCATCAAGTTAACACTCGCACCAAGATCACATAATGCTTTATTAAAATAAAAATCACCAATTGTGCAAGGAACAGTGAAACTCCCTGGATCTTTCAATTTTGGTGGAAGCTTTTTCTGAATTTTTGCGCTGCACTCTTTGGTTAGCATTACTGTTTCATGGTCCTCCAGCTTGCATTTATTTGATAATATGTCCTTCAGAAACTTTGCATAGCTGGGCATCTGGAATAGAGCATCGACCAACGGGATGTTGATGTGGAGCTTCTTAAAGATTTCCAAAAATTTCTTGTATTGTTGCTCCATTTTGTGGTTTTTCGACCTCTGTGGAAATGGAATTGGAGGTTCATATGGGTTGACTGTAACTGTTTCTTTATTCCCTGCTTTTTCTGAGCTTTCCTTTGCGGTAGATGTGTTTGGTTGTTCATCCGGCTCCACAGTTTCTTCTTCTACAGAAGGTGTATTCTCTTTGTTCTTGACTGGCCTTTTGACATGCATATCAGGTACCTACACTCCACTTCGAGTTGTGATAGCCTTGGCATGCTCTTTTGGGTTGATTTCCGTGTTACTTGGCAAATTTCCCTGTGCTCTTCCAGTCAAAGCGATGGCCATCTGTCCCATTTGAGTTTCCTAGTTTTTGATGGTAGCATTCTGGTTTTGCAGAGTGATTTCGGTTTTCTCCATGTACTAATTGGTCCTCTCCATGAATTTCCTGAACATGTCTTCCAATTGAGGATTTTTCTCTTGCTGTTGAAACTGACCCTGCGGCCTATTCTGATTCTGCTTGCTCCAAGAGAAATCAGGATGTTTCTTCCAATTGTTATTGTATGTTTCCCCATATTGATTATTCTGTCGGCGTTGCCCCCATTGTGCAAAATCTGTCTGCTCAACTCCTTGCATTAAAATTGGACACTCTGCTGTTTTATGCTCAGCTCCACATTCTTCACAGCTAAACTTCTTATTTTGTGTTGTTTGTGATATGCTTTCTACCTTGTGAAACAACGAGTCAATCTTCGCAGATATGGCTGAATAAGTATCGACCTCATAAACACCCAGAGGTTTCATCTGAGTTGCCCGCTCAGATGCCCACATCGCTGAAGTAGTTGCCATTCTTTCAAATAATTCTAGTGCTCCATCGATTGTTCGTGTAGAAATTGAGCCATCTGATGATGAGTCCACCATGCTTTTGAAGTACAGTAGTAACCTTATATAAAAGAATCGGATTTGGGTCTTTTTGTCGAACCCATGTTGAGGGCACTTCCGGAGCATATTCTTGAATCTGTTCCAGGCTTCGTCAAATGATTCGGATTCTCCCTGGCTGAAAATGGATATTTCGTGTCTTATTTTAGCTATCTTGGCTGGTGAGAAGTACTTCATGCAGAATTTGTGAGCCAGGTCGTTCCAAGTAGTGATGCTTGCAATAGGAAGCGAATCCAACCATTCAAGTGCCTTTTCCCGCAAGGTGTGTGGAAAAAGCCTTAGCCTAATAGCATCGTCCGAGATTCCTTGATATCTGAAGTGTTGACACATATCCAAGAATCGAGATATGTGTGTATGTGGATTTTCTTCGGCTCTGCCATAAAATTGATGTCCATTTTGGAATAGCTGTATCACATTCGTCTTCAATTGAAAATTGGGGTGCCCAAACGGTGGATACACAATACTGGACTGGCTTTGAATCACTTGAGGAGTCAAGAAGTCACCCAAAATCTCATTTCCTTCGTTCACTGCCTCTCATTCATTGGTTGGGATAATATGATTGTTTAGTTCGTTAGCCATTTACAATTTTGCTTCTCGGTTCTCTCTTTGTAGTCGATAAAAAGTGCATTCAATTTCAGGACCGGCCGGAATCAATTCTCCTCCAGTCGATCTTAGCATGCAAATTTAAGAGAAAAATAAGAGTAGTACTTAGATACTAAAAAGATAGATCGAATAATAAAAACAAAACAAAGACAAAAAAAAAAAAAAAAAAAAACTAAAAAAGAAACTAAAATTAAATTTCAAATTAGTGCCTAGAAAAATAAAATTAAACTGAACTCAATCCCTGGCAACGGCGCCAAAAACTTGTTCGCGAAATTATTTCTTTCGATTTAAAACTACCGCAAGTGTACGGTTCGTTAACAAGTAATAAAGTGGATTAAATGAGTCCGAATATCGTCCCACAGAGATTGATTAGTTTAATTTTATCTATCGTCGCCTTAACCGAAACAATAGAAATTCTTGATATTTTTGCTAACTAAATTATGATTTAATAACCTACTTATAAATATGAAGCCTAAATTAACTAGATTAAATGCGTGATTATAACTCAATGCAAGTTTTATAAAAATATGATAATGAAATGCGTACTAGGATTTCGAATCCCCATATATCAATCCTCTTTAATCCGAATTTTACAAAATTGACAACACGATTCAATTATGAAGACCAATATTCCTAATTTGTTTAACAATCTCTCTCGAGTAGAATTAAACCTATTTTCACATGCGATCCGACTATATTTCTATGAGGGATGAGAACATATAAAAATGCATTAAAAATTTATGAATACTTAAAGATCACGTAAAGCATAGCGGTATATTTCTATCCCCTATCGAACATTACGATAATTAACATAATGTCTAACTTATTTTCCATCTCTCGAGGGTAAAACAAGCTACAAAGCTCATACAACTATTGCGCACATAATTGTAGAGAAAATAAAATCCATGCCAATCATTCAATAATTAAAAACATGTTTTAACGTCAAATTAATAAAATTCAAGATTAAGGGTTCATAATATAAGGTTCATCGCAAATCCTAGCACATGAAAATCTAACCTAACATAATGGGAAATAAAGAGAAAAACAATAATTAAAACCAAGGAAGAACATCACCCAATTGATTTTTGAAGTGAAATCTTGAATTTTGAAGTGGATTGCCTTGTTTTTGCCTTGTTCTTCCTCTCCAAACCCTCCAAAATTGTGTATAATCCCCTCCAATTCTGTAAAAGTGGCGTCCCCTCATTCTGGTCGAGTTTTAGTTTATATAGAACCCTAAAAATCTCCTTTCCATAAGAGTTTCGGCGAAATAAGGAAACTGCTGAATCGGCCCCGAATCTTGTTCTATGCGACCGCATAGTACATTTCTATGCTGTCGTATAGAGTAAAAAAATTTGAGAAAAAGTTCTCGGGAGGCTTCTATGCGACCGCATAGAATTTATACTATGCGACCGCATAGTTATACAATTCTTTTCGCTGGACAGCTTTTAGTATTTTGGTCATAACTTTCTCTCCTGATCTCCGATTAAAGTAATTCAAAGTGAATTGTGAAGAAATCTCAATGATATAAACTTTTGATAGAAATAGGCTTCCTCAAATTCTGATGTTTACTATGTCAAAAATGAATCTCAAGTAGAGATTAAAAATCACAAGCATAGCTTTTTCGCTTGAAAGTTGATACTTGATAATACTTCGATCATATTTCACCTCTTGACTCCTTTCCTTATCTGATTAACCTCTAACACTCTTGAATCTTCATTCCATTTCCCGTTTCATCTATGAATTATTTGTAACTTGGTCCCCGAACTATCACTTTGCTCCATTTTAATCTTTTTTCGGCTCTTTTCTTCTGAATTTCACCATGTTTATCGGTGTTCCCTACAATTCACAAATATAACGAGATTAAGTCACAATTCAATCATTTTGCTCATTATTAAGTCATGTTTGTGACCTAAATAAGTGTGCAAAAACATACTTATCAATAGATACCAGCGAAGTGCCGGACCCACCACCAAGGCAAACTTGACATGTTTTGACTGTTATAATTTTATAAAAATTTTGGCAAAGTTCCCTCTGAAAAATGGACTAAAACTACCTGAAAATAAAATCAAATATCCCGAACATGTACATATCATTTGAAATAGGGTACACCGGCCCCTCAAAATATCAACTATACAAATACAACACTGGCAATTCGACTTTTGCAACAATTTCTAAACCACAGTACCCAAAATGCATAATATATATACAAAACATAGCAAGCCCAACACATGGAACTAATTTATGACCAAAAGAGGTGTCTATCCCAAAATATGAACTCTTAAACTGAAAAAATAGTTCATACAATGTTTGACAATCTATGGCTCAACTTGATAGATCAACTGGCCTAGTAGTGTTCAATTCAGCTATTATCTGATAAGAGAAATAGTGATAAAAATGTGAGCCTATAACTCAGTGAGTGGATATTTGCAAAAATATAATTTTCCTTTCATAAAATCTTTCTTAAAACCGACATATACTATAAAATTTCTTTTCACAGACATAAACTCAATATTTATTCTTTAAATTGAATAGGTTGAGTTCTGTAGCTTAAAATCTGATGATACAATCAAAACTAAAATATACTGTAATCATAAACATCTTTATTCTGTATACTGCATTTTTTAAATCTAATAAGCTATGTGATACTGAAACATCACACCAAAAATGTACCTGGAATAATCATACTCGTGAATCGATTAATCTCGATATACATAGCAACGTTATTCAATTCTATAATTCTGAAATTCTGTAATTCTGGTCGTACGAGCGCAGAGCTATAAAATGGTCATACACTATGGAAACACATTCACAATAGTGCAGAGCGGGTAAAATCACTATACTGATCATACGCTGTGGAAACACATTCACACCAGCGCAGAGTGGGTAAAATAACCATATGAAGTCATACACTGTGGAAACACATTCACATCAGTGCAGACGAGGGTAAAATCACTTGGGTACTTTCTGGTGGTTTTAAAATAACTTTGAATATACTGAAATAATATGTCAATGAAAGAATTTAACTGAACTGAATTTAACTTTTAAAAACATTTGATAATGAAATTCGTTTTATTCTGAAAAATCATGCTATCAACTCAACTTATAAAATACGTAACTTCAAAATTAAATAAATACTTATTTCTAAAAAAATAAGCTTATCTACTCACATAATACAAGTTGAACCTAAGATGGTCGATAGGCTCTTCCAATCTCCTCGTCACCACCTGGAATATATAACAAGATGACTAATCAACCACTATTAAATTAAGAAACTTTAAGATCTACTTCTATAATACTTAACTAAAATTGGTCGATGCTCAAATGAATTTTTCAAATATTCTTTTGATCAATTGGAGCTAATCCCACTTTCTAATCCCTTTTCTAATAATTAATTCATCGACAAAACCTTCTTCCCAAGTTTAAAACTAATTTTAGTCTCCAATCTAGTGAAACTAGTAACCACAATTCCACCCATTTAATATACATTTGTTCCATAAAATCAACTCCCAAGTGAAATATTCCATTTCTATAATCATTCCCACAAATAATTAATCAAAATCCCAAAATTGAATTCTAGGGTTTCCCAAAAAAAAAAATTGACATCTCCTTACCTTAATATAGATAGAAATTCAAGAATCAATAACTTGAGCTCCAAGTAGTATTCCTCTCAAAAAAATCTGAAAATTTCGAGCCAAAATAAAACCCCTAGAATTTCAACATAATTCATACTTTATCACTTGAAAAAAATGGAAAAATTCAACTCAAGCTTGAAGAAATTAGCCTTACCTCTTTTCCTCTTCTTCCCCTTTTTTTTCCCCTTCCTTCTTTCCCTTTTTCTTCCCTTTTCCCCTACTTTTTCTCTCTTTTTGGGTCCAGCTTGCTGCCCGTCTCTTACTCTGTGTGTGTGTGATTTGGAGTGAAAAATGGGTCAAATGTTGAATATAAATTCCACTTATTCAAAAATTGCAAGGAAAGTCCTCCAACTCCATTTTTATATCACATTTAATCCTAAATTTCCAAAAATATATAAGTAAAATCCAAACTTTGAAATGTATCCAATTTAACCTTCATATTTTGTCAATTGCAAAATAAATCCAAATGAAATGATTTGGTCAATCAAGTCCCAATAAAAATGATTTATTTCATACAAGTCCTCATTTGACTTGACTTTGAAAATTCCACTATTGAGTTTGACTAGATAAAAATGTGGGATGTAACAGTTCCCCTGACTGAACCCATGCAGTTTCTTCTTCCAAGTCGATACTGATGAGTCGAAGATTGACAAGATCAATAACGATGAATAGGGGTTTGCAGAGGTAAGATAGGCCTTCATAGTCATGACCCCCACTCTTGACTCTGATTTGCAAATCATGCTTCTTGCTACAGACAATGGCTGCTTGTATTTCAGTTTCACTATATGGCGCAATGATGAACCATCTGGGATTTTGTTGTGCAGATTACAAGAGATGTGAATATGACGAGGAATCTGGAGTGTGTAGGGACTTGAAAGATTTAATGTAGCCTGTAGAAGTATGTAGGGACATGCAGTTAATAAACTCTTCATGATTTGCACCGCAGATTATCAATGAAATTGAAAGCCAAAGCAGGAGAATCAGGGTTAATATATTCCATCTCTTTCACAACTGTGTTGAATCTCAGCTTCCAAAATTTTGACCTTCTCTTTGTTAATAGTGACAATATTTACCTAGAATCCAATTAAGCTCTGTCACTTTCTACTTCTCAATTAAAAAATCTGAATGTTTAGTTATTTTAATGAATATTTTCTACCTCACACATGGGGACTGAATAGTATTCAGGCAAATAACTTATAATTAACATCTTTACTGTATTTTACAGCTTTATCACGTCTGCTCATCAAAACATGATTTGCTTTCTCATCGAAAAGATAAACTGCTTATCTCAACTAAAAGATTACCTGCTTACTTCCCGCTGTGGATAGAGTTCCCCATGGATGACAACAAAAGAGTGTCGTCTCAACCTCCCCTCCTTCTGCCTTGCGAAGTTTTTTGGGAGGCGAGACAGAAATCTCTAGTTTTAATTTGACATAGATTTAAATGTATAAAAATAAAATAAAAGATAAGATTCAGGTCGGAGTTACGGTGGGGACCATGCTTGTCATCCCCGGCCCAACTCCATGACAGGATAGAGTGCGTCGGGATACTTAGCCATCCCTATGCATTAGGAAACTCAATTCTCGAGCTGTTTGTTACTCTATATGCTTGACGTATATAAAGACTACTTTCCGATTCACTTGTTGAGGTGCCTCTACTCATGGCTTGTGCAATACTAAGATTGGACACCACCCTTTTGGCCAGGAGAAAGGGGAAATGGTCCTATGGGTTCAAGAAGTGTTTCTTGTAAGATATTGAAAATAAATCCTCCTACTAACTTATCAATGAAGAATCTGATATGCTCAAGATATTTATGTCATTGAATTTAACTAAAATTCCATTGATAATCAATAAAAATAACGTTTTAGTAATGTTCTTCAAATATTGATCCAAACACTCCTTGGATTCGAAGTTTCATTTCTCTATTTTCATTGCTCGAGGGTAAAAATGTGTACATTTTGACGGTCTTTTTATGCATTCTAACTCTAAGAAAATTGAAGATTGAAAAGTAACTCCAAAATCCGAATGAGCACTTAAAGTGATCATTCAAACGAGGACCCTGAGGGTAATTTCCCTAGTCGAGTAAGTTGTACAGCATTCTCAATATAAGTACAAGCAAAATGTCCACATCAACTTGAATCTTTTGCCAATTTATTGAGTTTGCACTGAAAGATTTCTTGATCCATATAATTGATGGGGTCTAGTTTTTGGTACACAGCATAGATACTTATATCGGTATTCAATTGCATGTAGCGTCTCATAAATAATTGAAGCTGGGTTTTGAAACAACTGAAATTTAGGTCCAAGTGGAATGCCTAAAAGGCCTCACTTCTCATAAACATCTAATCATAGAAGTCGATGTAAAACCAATTATTTGTGGCCCATGTAATATTAAAGAATTAATTAAAGGTGGTTAATATTACTAAAATCCTATTGGCCCAATTGAGAAGTGGTAGTTTTATAATTGTCTATTTTGATGGAAAGTGGAGAGTTTTATGGAATATAGGAGACTGCCTCACTCTGCCTATAAATGTGAATGAAACCTATCAATTAATTCATTGAATAAAAGAGAGGAAAAGTGAGAGAACGATTTCTTTAATTTAACAGTTTATTATTTTGCAGATCTAAAATTCTCAATTATTGCCATAGATCAAGGTATGTTTCTTGATCAATTAAATTCATATGTGAAAATCATGAATTCTAAAGATCTTGGTATTAGGGTTTAATGTCTTATATGTGGTATCAGAGCCCAAATTGTAAAATTCTTGATTTTCCTTTAAAGATACTGTTTCCGTATGGGATCTTTAACCTTCTTTATAGATCTGTGGGTTAAGATCTGAAATTAGAATGATGGTTCCACTGACGAATATTTTCTGACCACAAAATTATGTTTAACTGTAATCAATGGCCATGGATAATTATTAGTGGATAGTTTCATGAATTGGTTCCCAATGAATTTAAAACTCGTTTAATCTATAATGGTATTGACAAAGACCCTGCATTTACTGCTGATGATGACTGGTCATAGGTTTTATTGTTATTTATGGGTTGAAATCTGTAAACATAAAGTCAAATTTTTTTTATATTGCAATAGTGCGATTTCTCATTTACTCTCCGTCAAATTACTGATGAAATACCATGTTGTGTCTGTTAAATTATGATTTGTTTAAGAGAAGTCCAATCTTTGATTTTGCCATCATGAGCCGTCACTGCATTTTTCTTGGTTGAAGCATTTTTTTTTTCAATTTCCAATTACTCTGTGGGGGCCAAATTGACCAATAATATATGATAAATAAATGGATTTTCAGTTCTACATGTGAATGAATAACTAATTGTAATTATTAGTGCTGCCTTGACTGCAAACTTATGTTCTATTTATTACTAAAGCATGTTAATAGTCAATTAATGGGTAATTTATTGATAATTGACTATTCTGCTCACCAAGAAATGCATCTTTAATATAAGTAGAATTTTACCGCCTTGCTTATTTGTGTTGGAACTTGGAACGTGCCTAGTCTATTTATGTCAATAATGAATAAACAAGAAAATGACTAAAAGCATTAAGTGATAAATGTTTTATTTATGTAATTAATGTTTGATTAATGTTGTTTGTTAGTCACCAAAGTGGCCAAACATTATGGTATTTTGAACACTAAATTACATAATTTATTTATCAATTACTCTTGATAGTTTGATGCTTGTAAATGAAAATGACTTTATTATTGGTGTCAAGAGTATATTGACGTTCAAAGATTATAAAATTATTATGGATCGCCCAAAGGTTGATCGGGTGATTTTATGAATCTTGAACATGATTGTGTTTAAATGATTTACTTGGTCGGATGTGTTTTGTATATCCAAAGATATTAGACATGTTTGATTAGAGTATGTTTAATTACCAATTAAGTGAAATTAAATTAGCATCATTATATTTATTGATGATGGTATAACGTAATATCACCCAAAGGAGAATTACGCTATACATTTATTGTTATCTGAATCTGAAATTAAAACTCAAAGTATTAATGTTAGAGCATTTTATATTTTGCAGTATCTATTCCCGTTTCTCTGCATTCGCATGCTTCATCTGTACCACTGTTCAATGGGCTCAATTTCTCTAACTGGTGTGAACAAGTTCAGTTCAAGTTGAGAAACCTGCTGATTTTACTGATGAGAGAAGTGCTGATGAAAGATCTATCCATAAAGCTTGGGAAAGGTCAAACAGATTAAGCTTAATATTTATGTGGATGACCTTAGCAAAGAATATCAAGTCTACTATCCCTAAAACTGAGAATGCTAATGAATATATAAAGTTTGTGAAAGAACGTTATCAAACAGCTGACAAATCACTTGCTGGCACACTGATGGGTACCTTAACCACCATGAAATTTGATGGTTCTTGTACCATGCATGAGCATGTTACTGAAATGAGTAACATTGCAGCAAGACTTAAGACTCTTGGGATGGCTGTGGATGAGAATTTTCTGGTACAATTTATCATCAACTCTTTGCCTCCCGAGTACGGTCCATTCCGTATGAACTATAATACCTTAAAGGATAAATGGAATGTGAATGAATTGCATAGTATGTTCGTGCAAGAGGAGACAAGGCTTAAGAATCAAGTAACTCATTATGTTCATCTCGTAAGTTATCAAGGAGTTGGAAAGAAATATAAGAAAAGATCTGGAAAGGGCATTAAGCAAGGACCACTAAAGATAAATGAGTCTTCTGCCCAAATCCACAATAAGGAACACAAGAAGGATACGTGCCATTTCTTTCGCAAACCTGGGCACCATAAAAAGGACTACCTGAAACGTAAGGCATGGTTCGAAAGTAAAGGTAAGATTATTTCTTATGTATGTTTCGAATCTAATTTGGCAGAAGTTCCTTATAATACTTGGTGGATTGATTCCGGATGTACCACTCATGTTACTAATACGATGCAGGGATTCCTTTCAACCCAGACCATAAATCCAAATGAAAAGTTTGTCCTCATGGGATATCGAGTCAAAGCTCCAGTTGAAGCCATTGGAACTTTGATTTTAGATACTAGACTTCGTTTAGATTTATTTCAGACTCTATATGTACCTTCTATTTCTCGTAATTTAGTTTCCTTATCAAAACTTGATTCTGTTGGATATTTCTTTGATGGTGAAAATGGATGTTTAAATTTGTTTAAACAAAATCATCTTATTAGTTCCGTTATTCTTTGTGATGGCTTATATAAATTAAAGCTTGATAACCTCTTTGCCGAGACTCTTTTGACCTTGCATCAAAATATTG